CCAAGTCGCCCAGTCTTCTGTGTGCCCAGGGGGGAGTCTCTCATTTGGTATCAGCCATTGATTGAGGTTCTGGGTTTGAGCCTGCCACTTTTGGACTCTCGCTTGCTGAGGTGTTCCAGCGAGTGTCTCTGTAGATCTTAGAAAACTATTCTTGATTTAAGTCGTTGGCGTGCTGGCTGATACCCAAACAAGGGATGAGCTGGAGATGTCTCTGCCTTGGTCCTTTCACTATTGGCTGCTACTTCCCGGCGGATGTCAGGTGGTGCAATACCGGCTAAGCAGTGTAATTTCTCCAGTGGTATAGGGCACAGACACCCCGTGATAATGCATCATGTCTCATTAAGAGCCACATCCACTGTTTTAGCGTGGTGAGATGTGTTCCACACTGGGCAATTTAAAAATGAGGTTGTGAGGCAGAATGGTTTTGGGGTATTGTGTATTTGGACTGCTTCCCTATCTTAATCAATTTCACCTCTTTTTAAAAATCCCCTTCATCCTATAAATTTATATAAGGGAACTACAAATCACACTTGGTTTCACTATTTCTTCTTCTCTCTCTACTCTGCTTCCCCAGCAAGTGCGTTTTTGTGTGTTCTTTGTAGTGTGACTAGAAATCAAGAAAGAGTTCCTCTCTCCTAGCAATGAACATCTTCTCCTGAAATGTCAACAATTGCTCTCTCCTACCCACCCTGAGAGTGTAATTTTTTAAAAATGGAATTTCAAGAGCTGCACACAATTGCAAAACAGATATCGTACTGTTACTTGTTAGGTTATAGACTGAGAGGAGAAAGGAGCCAACAATATCTTTTTTTCTTGGCTCTGATTGACAACCCCATGCAGTTTTTGTTTAGCAGAGCATCCATTGAGTTAGTAGACAGCTATTAGATGGCTATTTATTGAAGGCTCAGCAAGAAAATCAACTGAAGCTATATCAGCAGCACTTCCACATAAGAGTTTCCTGTTAGCACAGGCATTAGCCCAACCACTGGCAATCTTTATGGCCATTAAGATTTCTCTTTACTAGCATCAGACCACAAGCAGGCAAATAAGAAGCATATACGAAATGGTTATTGGTGTGTGCATTACATGGAACACAGCTCAAGGCAGAAGATATGTTAGCTGAACAAGAAGATAACATTCTTGGATGATTTGGATTTACGTTCATTTCCCTGTGGTGCAGTGGCTGTGCTGAACAACTCTGTTCCCCCCCCCCCTTCTTGTTTGGAATGTACATATTTTCCTGCATTATGTCCACAACATAGGAGGACAGCGGATAGGCTTTCAGATCACTACTTTTGCCATTTCCTTATCATTAAATAATGAAGCAGCTTTAAAAAGAGTTATTATCACAGCTGGAGATTTTTTTGAAGATCCCACTACAACTTTTTGCCATTCTAAAGAGGTAAGGCTTTGCATGAAAAAAAATGTGTCTCTTTACAGATATTTGTAGAAAGGAAGAAAAAAATCATTTTCATATGGGGTGTTTAAATTGAGAATCATTGTGACCATGGTGGTTAAGAAAGTATAACTGTGAGCAGGCCCGTAGCCAGGATTTTGATGGGGGGGGGGGGGAGGAGGTTGTTCGGGGGGGGGGCTGAGTCTGAGTGAAAGAGGTCTACCCTAGCAAACCTTTTGTATCGTTACCCCAATACCCCCATGCATATGGGATATATTGAGCATGGTGATCAGATCATGATATGAATAAACATAACAGTTTAAATAATGTAACAGTAAGGCCTTCTCGCAGACCACCCTGAGAATTTCGGGGGGGGGAAGCCCCCACCCCCCCCCCCCCCGGCTACATGCCTGACTGTGAGCAAATAAACTTTGTGATTTAGGGGACGATGGACCTGTCAATTACATTCATCTTGCCTTCATGGTACTGAGAGCTGGGAAGGGTGGGCATATTAAGGAAAGACAATGTTGGAATTCAACTGGTCCAGCAAGCAAGAGTGATTTATCTGTTTGGTTGCTTAGGGCACTACTTCTTAAAAACATGTGTCCCAATCCCAAATGGGGTTCTCTTAGGTTAAATTTGGCAACAGTAAGTGTTTTCTGGATGTCACCTACTGCTTCATCACATGGGCAAATAGGCCTGTCATAGGGTGCTTCCAACACAGGTCCTAGACAGAGCCCACTGGACCCCATCAGATCATGCACAGTTACTTCCTGTGGAGCTCTGTCCATGAACATCCTTGAACGTCCTTGAAGCATCCTACAATGGAGGTAGGAGAACACAGAAGGCTTCCCACAATGGCGACAGTGTGGAGGGAAGCTGGGCAGCGATGCTTTCTCCCGTGTGATGGGGAAGGTGGTGCTGTTGGGTGTAGGACACCAGATTCCCCCACTGCCCCACGGATTTGTCACATGCCCAGAGAATTCCCCCATTGTTACCCGTGTTAGATGACTTAATGTGATGAGGTCCTAGTGGCTGTTTTAATCCAGTGGATCAGGCAATGACAGAGGGCACCAGAAGGAACTACTGTATATACTAGAGTATAAGCCTAGTTTTTCAGCACTTTTTTAGGCTGAAAAAAGCCCCCCTCAAGTGAAGGTCCTGGTGGGAAGGGCTTCTTTCAGCCCCACACCTTCCTGCCAGGACTCTAGCCTCTCTGCACAGCAACCCAGCTCTCCTTCCTCTCGTGCAGAGTGCACCTTCCTCTCCTCCTCTCTTGGTGCAGCATGCCTCTTTCCCCCTTTCTCAGTGCAGCATGCACCTTCCTCTCCTCCTCTCTCAGTGCCCGTCATTCTCACTTTCCCTTATTCATATACATACAGCATTTCCCCCAAAATGTATAGGTAAAATAAATTATTGTGATTATTAGAAGGATACGTAAGCACATTTACATTGAAGGTTAGAATAATTATTTAATAAGAGTTGGACAGTCTTATCTTGAATTACAGTTTTATGTAAATATTAAAAAATATTTAAGCTACTGATGCCTCAATTAATGTAATTTTATTAGTATTTTTTTTATTTTGAAATTTACCAGTAGCTGTTGCAAATCCCACCCTCGGCTTATACTCAATACGTTTTCCCAGTTTTCGTGGGGGTTTTTTAACCCTTGTGCCAGCAGGACTGAAGACAGACAGGTTGCAGGTTAAAATCTGGGGAGAGAGTGGATGAGCTCCCTCTATCAGCTCCAGTTCCTCATGCAGGGACACGAGAGAAGCCTGCCATAAGGATGGTAACACATCAAACATCCGGGCATCCCCTGGACGTCCTTGCAGATGGCCAATTCTCTCACACAGAATTGACTTGCAGTTTCTCATTTTGTCAGGCCCAAAGAAATGACTTAAAATGTTGTAGGATGAAAGCTTACCCTAGGCTGCCTTAACATTGCCCACTGCCAGAGTTTGGTAGGAGAAGGAAGGCAGTGCAGAATTCAGGAACATCTTGGTGGAAAGAGAAGCTGTAGGATTTTTGGGAAGGTGTGGTCTTTGTAACTAGGGTGTCTCATGTTACAAAGCATAGCCTCCTCCCCTATGTATGGGGGAAGCAAATTGAGGATATTAACCAGATGTTATCGTTATCTCATTTTGCTGCTAATCCTACTTCAGAAGGGTGGATTTGGGCTGCACTGTTCCTGTATTTCTTTCCTATGCAATTGCTGTTACATGATTTTTAAAAAATCCATCACCAGCATGCATGCTACAGACTCTACTATTGCAAAAAATATCCACCTCCTCTGAAACTCCATTACTTCTGCCTAGGATAACAACACTGCTGCAAAAATCTCCAGCAACGTGGGCATCCACCCTACCCCCCTCTTCTTCCTCTTCCTTTCCTGGTCCATACCTCCTCCCACCTTGGCATCAGGATACCTCTACCTTTCAGTTTGAGGGGGTGGGGGTTCCTGCCTAGAATTTTATTTGCTTTACTGTTGGATGTACTTGGTTTCACCTCTGAGTACGCTACTTCTCTGTTACCTGATTGTGGTGAGGCAGATTTGGACTCAACCCCAGGTAGAAAAAACATAGATTGGACCAATACTATATGCATTACTTCATAGAGCTTAGGAGGCTATCCAGTCAAAGCTGTGTCAGTTTTTAAGTAATACAATAATTCTGTATTTACCATATAAGACCGTCAACGTAATGTATCAATTGGCTGTCTAACTCATTTTTCTGGAAGCTGCTAATTGTGAAGTTGGAGAGGCAGCACAAAGAATGGAATAAAATAGCTGGTAACAAATTCACAGGCTATTAGATGCTGGTGTGACAACAATATTTCAAGGAACATATTTTCTCTTGATCCAGATACCCTATTGACATCTTCACCACCCTGAAGATCAGCACTTTAGCCTGCCTTGGAGCTCCCTTGACTTGTTCAGTATTCCACAAAATTAATCGGATAACAAAAGATAGAGTGAAGTATAATACTCAGTGCATAGCATACAATTGACTTTGCCTGTAATTTTTTAAAAGCAGAATATATGTAACATTAGAAAGGAAATGACAACAGCTCCGAATGTCAACCAAAACAGATACATTACTCCAGGATGCTGCTGAGTCAGGGCAAACAAAGTAGTGGTTGCATAGAAGTTTCAACTATTCCAGGTAGCCTTATGCTACATTGTAGGTAGTCAACTATGCTGCTGTTTTGGACTATTATGGGGTCACAGTGTCATTTGTTTAGGCATCTAGTTGGTCCCAGCTTCTCTGAAGTAACTTGACTGTTATCATTTGTGAGCTTGGGTGATGGCAAGTAACTGTAATTATGATCTCAGTAAATCTATACAGTACCCCTAGATCGCTGATTCTCAACCTGTGGGTCTCCAGGTGTTTTGGCCTACAACTCCCAGAAATCCCAGCCAATTTATCAACTCTTAGGATTTCTGGGAGTTGAAGGCAAAAACACCTGGAGACCCACAGGTTGAGAACCACTGCCCTAGATGCATTACCCATGCATTAACTACACAGCCCATGATAAATACATCCAGGATTCACTGATATAATCTTTCATTTAAAATCACCAAAAAAGAAGAAAAAAGACTAACCTTTTCATATGACCAAAGCAGCCTGTAATATCCCAAGTCAGTTGTACAGATTGTACTGTCATGCAGGATGGCATAATTGGGGTTTAAATACATTTGGGAATGACAGTTTTGCAAGATGTACTGAAGTACTGATAGTCCGCCCTTTATTACATCAAGCTTCAAAGATTAAAAGGAGAAGCTTCACTTCCTTGATTTATCTAAGTATATATCAGGCAAATCATTTTCCTCCTTTCCACTTCACCTGCTCTGTTTGTTATTTAAATCACTGTTTCCTTCTGTTAACATATTTCAAAAATGCAATGGGTGGCTATAGCTTACTGTTGGCATCTAGACTATGGAATTCCTTTCCAAAGGAACTCAATTGGTCATTTTATTCTGTGGCAAGTTAAAATGATGTTGTTTCCACTGGTATGGAGTGATATGTTGTCGCAATACTTCAATATTTACATTTACAATAGGTAAAGTTGTATTTTTCATTAATACAACTTTACGTATTTTGCTGGCATAAAGAGGCAAGAACTCACATAGAATCACAGAATGTTAGAAATGGAGGAGACCACAAGAGGCATCCAATCCAATCCCCTGCCATGCAGGAGCACAGGATCAAAGCACCCCCAATCGATAGCGATCCAGCCTCTCCTTAAAGACCTCAAGAGAAGGAGACCCCTCCATGCTTCGAGTAGCAAATTCCATTACGAAACAGATCTTGCCATCAGGAAGTTCTTCCTCATGTTTAGGTGGACTCTTAGGTCCATTGTTCCATATCCTAGTCCCCAGAGCAGCAGAAAGCAAGCTTGCCCCTCCACAATGTGGTGCCCTTTCAAATATTTAAATATGGTTATCATGTTCCCTCTCAGTCATCCTCGTTGGGTTTGGTTTCCCAGTTTTAGACCATTTAGGGTTGTCCTTCTCTGGACACATTCCAGCTTGTCAACCTCCTCCTTGAATTATGGTGCCAGACACAGTATTCCAGATGAGACCTGTCTGACCAAAGCTGATTATCTTATTTATTCCTACATGATTTTGCCTGTATTAAGATCATCTAGTGACAGTCTGCTTCAGATGTCTTTGGCAATGGAAAGTGTTATATAAAAGCAGAAGCGACAGCTTCTTCTATGGTGTTGTGCTGTAGCAGAAGTGCTCTCCATACGTATGTGTTAATTTAAGTTTTGAGGCTTCTAAGGATCATTCCTTGATTACTTGTCCAAGTTCTATAATGGGTTGAATTTCAAGATGTTGTAATGGTTTTGATTAAGCAAATTTAGGTATCTAGGGTTTCAGGGAAGAAGAGAGAGGAGTTAAGAGACCAAGGAAGAGAAAAGTCAGCTTAATAACATTCAGAAGCTTGTCCCTATCCTCTCCTGGTCCTTATATAACCTTTTCTGCTCATTCTTCCTCCTCTTCCCATGTTTACCAAGAAGTTTACCTTTCTTCATTTTATTTTAACCATCTGAAGAGTTTGTTTGTTCTGCAGAAGGTAGCACCATGTGGAACTATCTGAAGCAACTATGATTTTGGGCCTGACAACTGATTTTAAGGAAAGTCAGGTCAATCTGCCACCTTCCGAATGAAGATGGCACTGCAGACTACAAGGGGATATTTAATCAGCCCAAATTAATGAATCCATTAAAAAAATTAACTCAATGTTGCAGGTGTTCAGTTTTGTGGTTTTAAAGCTTTGGTAGGAGTAGATAAAATCAATGGAATATATTGTTTAAGACACATTGATTGTCATATGCATACTAATTTCAGTGCCGCCAACAGAAAAAAAACTGCTCTCCCCTCTCTATATAAGCACACACCTATAATTCTAAGACACATCCTATGTTTATAAATATTTACATGGGAAAAAGAGCTACAGTACATTAAAGAGAGCTGCCATGTGTTAAAGAGAACTGCAATTAGGTTATTTTAGACACTGGACTCACAAGTCTTATGGGAACTTTTTGGGTAATGTATAATTTCAGTTACTCTGGAGTGTGATATACTAGACTTGCTGCATTCGGAGAAGCTCCTCTCCATTCTGTTGAATGAAACTTTGGACAACTACTCATAAATCATCTGTGAAGGTACCATTGTAAAGGCACAGAGTCACTGTGTGCTGCTTTTAAATGCTCAAAGCCATCTTACCAATTACCCAGTTGTAATTCTCACAACCCTGTCAGATAAGTCAATCACATTTATATTGCAGTTAGAAAATAATTAATCAAATTAGGTTCCTCCTAATGTTGACTACGCGAGAGAAAGGAATTGGGATTTACTGATTCTATATGTGACTGCATTGGTATTTCTCCTTGAGATGGGGTGAAGAGCTTCCAATGACATCATCCCCTGGCATTTATGTAGTCGCTGAATGTTCATAAGGAATTCTGAATATCTGGACTAGTTTGTCTTTGTAATATTTGTTCATTTTATGATGTGAGCAGACACTCATGCAAGATAGCACATCATTGACTCCATTTGTACTTCAAGGTATCCCACCTGCATCCAACACTCAGCTCTTTGACTGAATCGTGTTAGTTAGGGGCCCTTCCAGGAAGGTCCTGTATCCCAGGATCTGATCCCAGGTTTTCTGCTTTAAAGTGGATTATATGAGTACATAGTGCCAGATGATCTGGGATAAACAGAAAACCTGAGATCAGATATATGGACTGTCTGGAATGGTCCTTAGTCCCATCTTAGAGAAGGTCCATTGAATCAATCCTTCAATCAAGTTTCAAAACCAAGGTAAACCTCACTGATTCTTCCCTAGTTGGGATTAACAACAGTGTTTACCAGAAGGTCTTGACTGTTTATCCCACTACTCAAAAGTGCTGTTTTTATAAGCAAGTGACAGAAAAGCATCCATTTCCCCTACAGGTAAATTGCCAGTCCTTGAAACATCCACATAAGCTACAAAATATCAATCATGTGGAGTAATTTTTTCCCCAAAAACCAAAACAAAACCAACATATGTGCAATATGTAAATTCACTGTAATCAGGAATTACAGTGAAACCCACAATTTGTCAGTGAGTGGATGCTTTTGGCTGGTCATAAATATAATGGCAGAACATAAAGTCAAGCCGATTTTTTTGATATGTGTCTATAGGCCATATTCTGGGTTTTCCCCTGTGCATGGGAACATTTTCTCAATAATAGTTAAAGATTTAATAATATGGAGTGATTTTGCAATTGCTAAGAGAGTAGACAAATTCAATAATCTGAAATTTTCAAGTTCACAGTATAAGAAAGGTAGCAGGATTTGGATAGATAGTCGTCACAATGTGATGAGAATTGTCACATCCACACAACGGATTTCTTAGTCTGAATAATTATACTATGCTCTGTGTCTTGCAAAACAACCATCTGTTGTTGTTGGTTCTATTCAACATCAAGAAGACTCAACAGCAGGTTTTTTTTCATATTTCATGATGGAAAGGCCTCGGTACTGATAGGAAGCTCATTTGGCTTTAACATGTTTGTTCCATTATCTTGCAGGTTGGCCTTTGTGGTTCTTAAACCATGGAGTCCATGGCTGTCCTTGACACTGTTGGGGTGGGAGACCTAGTGCTTCTGGACCCCCTGACGGAAGACACGGTGATGCGGAACCTGGAGAAACGTTTCCATCGAAAGGACATCTATGTAAGAGGCATTGAGAGAAATGGGATCATATTATTGAAATGAGAATTGTATTCCAGGGTGGGAAAATGGAGAATTGGGAAGTAGGTGTGCAGTAGGGCGATGCATGCTATTATAGTGTTAAGTCTTCCATTCTAAAAAAGATAATAAAGATAATAAAGATTTACTATGATTTCATAGAATCATAGAGTTGGAAGAGACTTCATGGGCCATCCAGTCCAACCCCCTGCCAAGAAGCAGGAAAATCTCATTCAAAGCACCCCTGAAAGATGGCCATCCAGCCTCTGTTTAAAAGCCTCCAAAGACGCAGTCCCCAGCACACTCCGGGGCAGAGAGTTCCACTGCTGAACAGCTCTCACAGTTAGGAAGTTCTTCTGGAAAAATGGCATTCATAACCTTTTTGAAAAGAAAAATGATGTCATATCTTTTTGGCAAATGTGAATCTCCATGAACATCTGGAGACCACCTTTTGAAAACCACTAGTCAAGGAAGTCAACCCTTTGAAAAGGTGATGTTCACAAGCATTTATGTAATGGCACACAGATCAAGTACTCTGCTATAGCTCAGGGAGTTGTTGTGGAGGAGCTATAGAAGCAAGACACATGCCTATTTCTACCTCAACAGCATAAGTGGTAAAAGCATGTAAATTCCAAATACAGAACTATGATAAGATGCATACATCCATGTGTACATTTATATGGAATTTCACCTCCATTTAGAATATGCATTATTGAGCATCAGTCTCAATTTTAAAAATAGAATTAGATCTCCCTTTAGATAGATGTAATTGTTCACATTCTTGAACATTTACGTTGTGTTTTTTTAATGATTCATGTTTATAACAGGTTTTAGTTTTTTTAATGGTTTAGTCATTTTTTAACCTTTGAATTTTGTGATTTTTTAAAGTATGTGTCCTTTTCTTCTTTTGGGAGTTGCCTTGAGTCCTGAAATGAGGAAATGGCAGGAATAACAACAATGTCGCCATTATATATCACCATTATCATCATCATCACTGCTACTATTGTAGTGATTTAAAAGTTATAATTATAGAGATTTATCCTGATGAACATAATTGTTCAAATTTTGATAATATTTTATTACAAAGAGAATCCCAGTAGATCTTTACATTGTTTGCTTTATAAAGATGTAACTCTTTTAACAGTTTTATCAGATCATCTTTCCCAGCGTATATCATCTATATGTGTTTTTCATTTTTTTAGTTGCTTGTTAGAATTGCCCATCTGCCTTCCCTGATAGCAGGCAATATAGGACATATTAACAGTAGTGTAGGAGTGTTTACTTGCATTACCACCTTGTTCCATAATTCAGATGAGAACAGGCATGTTAAACTTTGTAACAGCGTGTCATAGGTTTTGTAATCTTATGTGATGCAAAAACAAGTTTGGGCCCCTATTAATCATAAATAGAGTTACCTTTTATAGGATTGTAAAGTTGCTACTTTGATGACAGGAGAAAGTGAAGGTTCTTTGTTGTTGTTTAATAATATGAGCCTCGGACAAATATTTTTACAATGATGTTGTATTTTGAAGTGTGAAACAAGTTTTTTTTATCAGAAGCATGTTTTACATCCCTGATGATATGTATGATTATATATGAATGAATGAATGAATGAATGAATGAATGAATGAATGGTTTATTGCACCAGTCATAGGCCATAACATAAAATAATATACCACCTTTAAAAGTACAAAAAGCACTTTCCAATTCAAACATGAAACTTATTCCATATACTGGATCTTTAAAATTACAGTAGCAGTGACATGATAACAATAACAATGTCTGATTTGTATCATGCCAAACTATTTCTATTTCTAGCCTCCGCAGTGGACGTCACTAATTTATCATTACCCCAATACCCCCATGCATATGGGATATATTGAGTATGGTGATCAGATCATGATATGAATAATAGGGCTGGGCGGTTTCGTTTCGTTAATTCGTAATTCGTTAAAAAATTCGTTAATTTTTCAATTACAAAACGATAACGAACCAGTCTGGAGCAATTTTTTTAAAAAACGATTTTTTAAATCGTTTCGTAAATGTTTTGTATTCCGTTATTGTATTCGTTTCGTTATCGTTTTGAGGTCGTTTCGTTATTATTTCCGCATGTCTGGGGCAAGTTTTATAGTTGTTTTTGGTTTTCTAAGGGTTTTTATAGTTGTTTTTGGTTTAATTAAGCTTCAGAAGTTCCCCCTGTCCCATTTGGAGGTTTTTTAGCATATTGTGCGGTCGCGTCCGCCATTAACGAATCGATTCGTTATTGTTTCGGAAATCGATTCGTTATTGTTTTGTAATTTTTTTACCATTTACGAAATTTCGTAAATATCGAACTTTTTTTAAGGAAAATTTTGTAATTATTTTAAATAACGAAACGCAAAAACCCCAAAAAACGAATCGATTTTAGAAACAAATTTTTCCATTGTTACCCAGGCCTAATGAATAAACATAACAGTTTAAATAATGCACCAGTAAGGCGAACCACCATGAGAATTTTTTTTGGGAGGGGGGCTGAAGCCCCTGAAGCCCCCCCCCCCCCGGCTACATGCCTGCTGCTGACTATTACCATGCTGACCTTTCTTCTAAAAGGGCTCCCAGAAGATTGTTTCTAGGAGCATTATCCAAATTGCAATGTAACAGTGTATTAAATCTTCTCTTTCTCCCAACCCACAAAGACAAAGTCATTGGGCATGAGGGATCCCTCTATATCAGTGTTTCTCAACCTAGGGGTCGGGACCCCTGGGGGGTCACTAGGGGGTGTCAGAGGGGTCTCCAAAGGCCATCAGAAAACACAGTATTTTCTGTTGGTCATGCGAGTTCTATGTGGGAAGTTTGATCCAATTCTATCATAGTTGGGGTTCAGAATGCTCTTTGGTTGTAGGTGAACTATAAATCCCAGCAACTACAACTCCCAAATGTCAGGGTCTATTTTCCCCAAACTCCACCAGTGTTCACATTTGGGCATATTGAGTATTTGTGCCAAGTTTGGTCCAGATCAATCATTGTTTGAGTCCACAGTGCTCTCTGGATGTAGGTAAACTACAACTCCAAAATTCAAGGTCAATGCCCACCAAACCCTTCCAGTATTTTCTGGTCATTGGAGTTCTGTGTGCCAAGTTTGGTTCAATTTCATGATTGGTGGAGTTCAGAGTGCTCTTTGAACTATAAATCCCAGCAACTACAACTCCCAAATGAAAAAATCAATCCACCCACCAACCCCACCCGTATTCAAATTTGGGCGTATTGGGTCTTTGTGTCCAATTTGGCCCAGTGAATGAAAATACATCCTGCATATTAGATATTTATATTACGATTCATAACAGTAGCAAAATTATGGTTATGAAGTAGCAACGAAAATAATGTTATGGTTGGGGGTCACCACAACATGAGGAACTGTATTAAGGGGTCACGGCATTAGGAAGGTTGAGAAACACTGCTCTATATATCTTCCCTCTAGCCAGCCTGATGGCATTGTTTGGAAGCGCAGGGCTGTAAATGCTTTTCTAAGGGCTACAGATGTTAAGTCTTCAAGATGTTGTTGACAATATTGGTCACTCTTTAGTAGAGGGTACCAAGTAGTGAAACCCTATTATTTACTAGTCCAAAAGGTGTCAGATGTATCCATCTCAATGATTTTGTCTCTAATCACATTCTTGTCCCATAGCATTAGGATTGTTGTTGACCCATCAAAATACTGGTGGACTAGAGCTAGCCAGTATTGAGCCCAATCTCCCCGCTTATATTGCTCCATCAAGCGTTGTTTTGTTATACTCTCATCCTCCATTTCCAGAAGTTTCTTCCCATGTGAGATGTTAAGCGAATGCATTTTGGCCCTAAGTGAGGGAAGATCCAATTCAAGCCTTAGAAAGACAGATGTTGTTCTGGGGGGGAAGGCTAAGCTCTTACAGACTTATTCTGGATACATTCAGCCTGCTTTGTATTACTCTGTCTCCATATCTTCGCTCCGTATAACAATTGTGGTCGAATTTTAATGGCAAAAATCTTAATTGTGGTACATACCAAGGAACCCCCTTTATTTCCCCAAAGTCTAGAATTGATTTTGCTGACTTCCAGGCGAATAATCTGGTTGCCTCTATACGATTATCCCAGTTACCATTATATGAGAAGTATATGCACATTTAAAGCTGTGACACCATTCTCTTGGATGATCCTCCAGTTGTCATTTATGTATCTGCTTCCTCTTAGAGAATACTGTCTCTTTGGTTTTAGAGTGATTAATCCTCAACTACTCTTGTTTGCAAATTCTACCTAGTGTCCTCAAGAGTGTCCTATTTGTGTAGACAGGAGGACCATAGTATGATTATATAAGAAATTAATGTTGATGTGTAGTTCACTTTATACATTGTATGCAGCCTACATTGCTTTGACTTCGGTTTGAATTATATTCATCTTACTGAAATATTAATATATTACAACGAGAAGCCAATGCAGCATAAGTTGTGTACAGTGTTCCCTCACTTATCGGGAGGTTCCGTTCCAGGACCACCATTTCAGGACCACTAGAAATGGCATGCCTATGATGGAAGCAAATCTTAAGAGCTTTGTAAATGCACCCAGAAAAGTAATGCCACCAGTTAGTGGAAGCTTACATTTCCTGAGTTATTCTGGAATACAAACTACCATATGTTGGTTATGACTGAACTCTTCGGTTAGAACTAGGCATGCATGACATGAATGCTGAATAAGAAACTAAAAAGACCTATGAATGTTTCAACCAGAGGCTTCACAGTCCCGTCCCCCCCCCCCCCCAAAATGAAGATTACAAAACAGAAATCCACCTGGAAACATGAATAATTTGGTTTAGATATACCCTCATTTAGCACCTCAGGCTGTGCCATGAGTAATTTGCAAACATTTGCAAACGAGCCAAAATGTGTCATTCGTATGATGCATGCTAATTTGTATGAGGCATGCTAATTGAGGGTGTTTTTTTAAAGTGAGAGTAACAAGAAGAGAAATGAAATATCAGAAACTGCTGCAGTGCACAGATTTGGAAGAGCATATAGATTACCTGGAGAAGTTTTTTTTTGTGGTTATACAGAAATTGTACTATTTCCCCTAAAATCAGGGAACTGTGAAAAGGGGTATAGACTGCTTGCATTTTTCTCTGTTCTCCAAACTAGAACATGTTATTTCTTTCTTAAATAATTTAAATGATATGATTTATGTGGGACTCCTGCACAAAGAACCGAAATTTGAAAATAATGTATATAAAAACTAAGGCTAAGACTTGGCCTTTGTCTAACTGCCAAATTTAAATGGTGAAGAAGAAAAAAGATTCTTCAGATCATCCTTTAGAAAAAATGGCTTCACAATGCTTTAATGAAGATTATTGCCATTATTTGTTCTATCCATAGAATGAGATCTTCTGAGAAAAAATGCCTTCTGATAATCTTAAATCTGGACTGGCTACAAAGAACAATGGAGAAAGATGAGATAATGTTTAAATGTTTGGTTTGTCACTGTGTGCAAATATTATCTTTAACTGTAGTCATAGCATATTTTTGACAGTGTTACATACATAAACACTTTTCAGCAGAGAGAAAGAATTACTCTGACACAAAAGAGTATGAGACAAATCCTGCTTCTTGGCAGGAGGTTGGACTGGATGGTCCACGAGGTCTCTTCCAACTCTATGATTCTATGACATGATGTCAATGAGGTCCTCAAGTGAACATTCTGTCTTGGGGCTCTTCATTTATTGTAGCTTCAGTCCTTTCCCCATCATATTGGTTTGGATGCCTAACTGCCACATCTGTTAAATAGCCAGAACTTTGTGGGACTGATACTAAAGATTTAGCTTCCATGTCTGCTTTTAGATTTGATAAGGAAGAAAACCTGTTTGAATTAGGACCTCATCATATGGAAGTTTTCCACCATTTCTACCTGTTTCTACACACTTCAAAGATGGACTCCCACTGAGCCCATCAAACGACACAGGACTGCTTTCTGTGGTTGCTTGTGGGACTCCATCTTCACAGCATGTTGAAACTGGAGGGTTTCAAAGACAGGCAAAAATTGACTCCACTCCTTTCCTTGCACACTTAAAATGGATATTTTTCCTTGTGATGGCTAGTGATGGATTTGTCTGATTACAGTATGGGCGTTCATTTGGGTGGTCTGATAATGCTCCTTTTGTTTCCATTAGTAGTTTAGTGTGGGTCCCATTGAAATAAGTGTTTTAAAAAGTGTGCTTGTCTCTTTAGTAAAGGGGTTTAAGAGGAATTATCCTGTGCAAAGTGGTGTTTCAAAAAGGAAAGGATGCCTGTCTTGTTTAGTGTACGTGTTTAAGGGGAATGATCCCAAGGAAAGTGGTGTTTCAAAACAGATGCCTGATTTAAAAAGTATGCTGGTATCCTTGAGATACTAAGGGGATGAGGTGATGGGGGAGAGTAAATTCTTCATCTTCTTCCAAGATGGAACACCATGAAACACCTGTGCAAAAAAGACAATTCCACTTGTTCCCCCTCCCCGCCCCATTTTGTGTGATGAAGTCCTCAGAAGGAAATCAGAAAAGGCCTGACCAGACTCCTCTGCCAGCCATATTACCTACTGATTTTAGAAGGCTATGAAAAGCAGCTGAGGTGAGGGCATAATCTACCAAAAACTAGGAGGGAGCCAGGAATCAAGAGATGTTGCTTATGAATGGAATTAATTCTTCACATCCAATGTGCACATTGTCAACATTTGCTAGAATATTAAAGTACTAATCACATTCTTCCTCCAACAGACATACATTGGGAACGTGGTGATCTCAGTGAACCCATATGAGCCTCTGTCCATTTATACAGAAGAGAAGGTGGAAGAGTATAAGAACTGCAACTTCTTTGCAGTAAAACCCCACATGTAAGTGAGAGATGAGTGTGGTGAAAGCCCCGCACTGATGCAGCTCCAAGGAATGGGGTAAAATGGGTGCTGGCGGAAAACAAGCCAATCCTCCTAAATTCTTCTTCACTGTGCTTCTATTTATAGCTATGCCATTGCAGATGATGCCTATCGCTCATTGAGAGATCAAGACAAAGACCAATGTGTTCTTATCACCGGCGAGAGCGGGGCTGGTAAAACAGGTGAAAACATGTTGAATTCTGGAAACAGTGTTTCGGAACTGTTTGAATGAGAACGAAAGATCTATGGTGCAGTTAAAGCAGAGAAAGAAGCAAGGATAAGAAGGGGTTCTTCAGTAGTCTAAATGCATTAATGTAGAAGTGTGATACTTGGGTTAACTAAGCATTACACTTGCTTAGTTAACACTCCTGCAGAATTCTGGGATTTGTAGTTTGGGAAGGAGCCTTTAACAACCTCACTAAACTACAAACCCCAGAATTCTGCAGGAGGCAGAAACACAATTTAAACTGGATTCATTCTCTAGTGTGATGAAGTAGCAAAGGAGGTAAGTTTCTTGAGTGAATGAAATGGGTTTGCAGAAACAGTGGAAGAAGAACACACAAGAGTCTGAAATGGACCTGTTCATTGAATTTAACAGCACTGGCTGGTTTCAATATAGCTATTTTGTCTACAGAGTTTAGAAAAGGCTTCCACTGTGTAATTGCCCTGCCTTGTCCATGGATTTTTTTTCTTTTAAGTGTGAAACGTATTATTTGTTACTTTTTTTCTTAAGAAAATGCAATAGAATTGTACAGCATCAGTATCAGTAAATTTTATTGATTAGCCCTTAGGCCATATCACAATACCAAACCAAACAAAATTGTACAGCATGATTACGTAAAACAAAACTTGAAACTGGGTTGTTGTAGGTTTTTGGGGCTGTATGGCCATGTTCTAGAAGCATTCTCTCCTAACGTTTCGTCTGCATCTGTGGCAGGCATCTTCAGAGGTTGTGAGGTCAAAACATCATAAAACAGGTGGTTTTTTTTAATTTGATAGTACACCAAGGTTGGGATGATTATGTATCTATCGGTACTTACCAACCTTTGGGTCTCCAGGTGTTTTGGACTTCAGCTCTCACAGTTCCTAACAGCTGGTAAGCTGGCTGGGATTTCAGGAGTTGAAGTCCAAAACACCTAGATCACTGTTAAATTTCTGTAAAAAAAAATCAGAATTAGTTGAATATTCCAGCTGGTAAACAGTAAACCAAATCCTGTTTATGACCTAAATCTGTTGGATCCTTCAGTCTTTGAATCTTCTAGGTTCCTAAATAGTTAATTTGGACCTCACTTCGTGACGTGGAACATATCCAAGATCATTTTTCCTTTTCACTTCCTATCCAAAATAAGTGGCATAGTTTTGTATAAGGAAATTATTCTAATAGAGTGAATCCCAACCTCTAGTCCTCCAGGTGTTTTGAATTTCAACTCCTAGAAGCCTTAGTTGCCTTGGCCAATGATCAGGGGTTGTGGCAGCTGAGGTCCAAACCACATGGAAGACAAGAATTTGGGAAACACTGCTCTCATAGTTCCTTAATGAATAGAACCCTAGTCAATATTTACTCGACTTTAATGCACCATTGAATGTAATGCACACCTCAATTTTGTAGGTGTACATTACAAAAAAAGGATTTGCTATCAAATATAATGCAAGGCAATGGTGACTGCAAACATTCAGATGGGAAGCCATGCCTTTCCATCTGTTCTTCCAACCAGCCTTTTCACAGCCATTACTAGCCTCTGCTCCTTCACAATGTCCTGGTGGGAAGATGTGCCCCTCTGTTAGGCCTGGTGGAGAGATGGCAGTGGCTGCAAAAAGGTTGGTGGGAAGCTGTCCCTCTTCATCTCTTCTTTCCACCAGCCTTTTTGTGGCCACTGTCACTTTCCCAGCAGCCTTCCTTTTCATGGCCACTGCATCCTCTTTCTCCAGCTGGGATCTCTTGTCCAACAGCTCAGGCGGGTTTGGGTGTGTGATTCTAACATGCCATTGAATCTAATGTACACCTCAGTTTTAATGTTGTAATTTAGCCAAAAGAAGGTGTGTGTTAAACCCCAGTAAATATGGTACATATAATTTGCATTCTTTATGTTTTATCCTTAATCTATTTTAATACCTGAATTTCAGAACCTTTTGTTGAGCAATATTGCTTGATCTTTAAGGTCCCATTTACACAGTTTGAACTGCATTATATGGTCAGTATAGACCCAGTTCAATCTGCATTACAAAAGCAATGTAGACAGGACTTAACTCCTGCTTGGATCTTCCAAACTTTCTGATGAAATCAATCCAGCCTTATGTCTTTCTTCTCGTTTCCTACTGCCTTTGTCTTTAGCGAGTGTTATAATTTTCCAGCAAGTCATGCTGTCTCATGATATGTCCAAAGCATGAGAGTTTTACTTTAGTCAACCTTGCTCTTTGTAGGATTTTACCATCTGTTTGCGACCCTCTTGTGTTTTCTTATGTTTGTTCATGGAGACTTCTCATATTTCCTCACCAGCAATGAGTTCCCATTTTCTTCATCCACATAAATGGATTGTCCCCTGGTGAATGTTCCCCTTTCTACCTAAAATCACTTGAAAATGCTATCTTCTAACAAAGAACTCTGTGGAGTGCAACAAGAGCATAGATAATAGGAAGTACATACAGCCTCACTTCAGTTCTACTCATTGCTTTTCTGGTTTTTTAAATCCATCAGAGGCCAGCAAACTAGTGATGTCATATGTGGCAGCTGTATGTGGAAAAGGAGAGGAGGTGAACCGTGTCAAGGAGCAACTGCTGCAGTCCAACCCAGTACTGGAAGGTATGTGTTTGCTATCTCCCTCCTAAGAAATACGACAGGAACCAAGTCAAGATACAATCAAGGCTTCCTGCAGTTATTACTCATTACTTGGGAGAGATCCACATGTTTTTATTCAAGCCAGAGCTTCTGCTATGTTGCAAAGGCCATCACATTTTCTCACACTCAAAAGAGCATCATTTTCTTGCTGGGGAAATGCAGTTATTCTTCATGGTCTCTTTTATCCTGAAAAGACGGCAAAAGTTGACTAGAGAGTGAAAACTTTGTCCCGGCAAGAGAAATTTGATCCTCCATACGTTTAATGAAGTTTGTGACACACAAAAAAAGTTGTGGAATAGCACCACAACTTTCAAAGTCACTTTCAAGCCAGGAACAGAACTTTGTCATTATTATTATCATTCAGAGCCTGCATAGCCACCTGTCCAGACAGGTTTGGTAGTTTACTTGTGCCTAGGAACAACAGGGTGATGTTCCTGGATTATACGTGTCTGTTCTTCATTGCTTTTATCATAAAAACATGGGGAAAGTTAATTACATGGCAAAACCTTTGTTTGTGTGTCGCAAACTTCATTAAATGTGTGGAGGATGAAGCTTCTCTTGCCAGGATGTTTTTGCCCTCAACTGTTGCCATGTTTTTAGGATACAACCAATCAGGAACCAAGATGTATAACCTAGAAACAAACCAATGTAAAAAATCCCGTATTTTCTGAGTGTAGAGACATTCAGAGTATTGGCATTTTCTAGCCAGAACTAGGATATTCCCACAACTAAAAATCTCGCGTTTTTCGCGCTTTGTAGCGATTTTTCCCGTGTCTTCAGGGGACGTCATTTGGCCACCCGCTATTTAGAGCCAGGAGTTCCTGGGATAAAGGTAATGTGTGGATGGGCCTTGAGATCCATACCTTCAAGACAATCATCTTCAACAGATGGGCTTCCAACCCAATCAGCGTAACCTGTTTCAGTGATCCCAGGATCATGATCTTCAGTGTTTCAATATTGCAATCTCATGCCTTTGACATCATTGGGGCATTGGAGTTATTAACAATAAGACTTAGTTGTCCTTACTAGCTAAAGAAGCTGTTTAGCTGTTCATGTAGCATGTCTTCGACCTGTGTGCTCTCCCAGAGGGGATTGTATCATACTACAGTCCCCAATGCACAGTTTCAGCAGTTCATCATCAAGTTCCACTTCTCCTTTGCCTACCATCTATCATACATCTGAATATGGATATATCAGCACTTTGAACTGTGCTCGGAAACGAACTGATAACCAATAAAGCTCTATCAAAAGGGGAATTATATGTTCCCTGGAATCAACCCAGTCAGCACACTACATTTAGCATTGTAGACTTGCTGAAGTTTTGGAGTTTCCAAAGGCTAGTTTTGTGCAAAGGCTTTCCTGACCACTGCTGAAACCAGACCATCCAAGCGCCTGCCTGAGTGCATTTTTGGCCTCTTCTACACTGCCATATAATCCAGATTTTCAAATCAGATTATCTTTGAACTGTATTGTATGAGTCTACACTGCCATATAATCCAGTTCAAAGCAAATAATCTGGAGTTTCTATGGAAGTGTAGAAGGGGCTTAAATTATGAACCTAGAATGTGTCCCCATTCATTTCAGGCTGAATGTTTATTCCATGATCTTCCTTTCAACTGACTAGGAGCACTTCTGTCTTCTTCTTTTTCCCACTCTGGTAGCCTTTGGGAATGCGAAAACCATACGCAATGACAACTCCTCGCGATTTGTAAGTATTTAGTGGGAAAATAATGTTTTGATGAACAGCATGTAGGATCCTATTTTCTTGGAAGAGTTGACATGTCATTATTACACCAATGCTAATCCCATCTCTCTACATCAATCTTCTTCCTATTGTGGGTTTGCTCTGTTTTTGTTCCACAAGAAGATTGATAAAGAACTGTGAAGTCTTGCCTTCCCACTCTGGATAAACACACACAAATAACTGAGTTTCTGAGATTTCACCAGGTGAACAACTCTGCTTACACAGCTCAAAGGATTAGAAACTGGTTTTAAAACTTAAAGCATAGTAAAGTTGCTGAGATTCCCAGGAAGCTTAATTTATATCCATTTCCCAAGTGAAATCAGAAAATCATGGAATGCAGATAGCCCTGTCTTTCAATGGGCAAACTGGAACTTTGTCAGAGGCATGGTGCATCAGCAAGTTTTCTGATGCATGATGCAAACCATCTATTGTAGCAAGAGACCACAAAGTGGTGTCCACACAAGCTTCATAAATTATGTGCTATAAGAAGATTCTAGAAGTTACTGTTCTCATGTATGTTATCCTTGTATATGTCCTATTAGGCCAAAATAAAGGAGAATGAGAGGGTCTTTGAATGGCTCTTCAACATTTTTGTAAATGGCAAGTACAGCCATGGGACAGGGAAGACCTACAGATTTCTGGGTGGTTCTGTGTTTTCCGGGCTGTATGGCCATGTTCCAGAAGCATTCTCTCCTGATGTTTTGCCTGCATCTGTGGCAAGCATCCTCAGAGGTGAATGCTTCTGGAACATGGCCATACTTCCCGGAAAACACAGAGCAACCCAGTGATTCCGGCCATGAAAGCCTTCGACAATACCTACAGTTTTCATTCAAACAGAGGTAATGAGAGGTAGATGGTTTTCATAAGTTATGAGTCCCACGAAAATGTGGCCCCTCCTATAATTTTCAAAAACTCTCTCCTCCATGTTGATACAGTAATTGGAACAAAAGTAAAATCAAAATTAGAAGCAAAATGTACAATAATAACAAGACCCGGTCATGTCTTTGCTTACCTGCTTCTTCTCTGATAATTCTTTTTTTTTCCCCTAGGGCAAATATATGGATATTGAGTTTGACTTTAAGGGTGATCCTTTGGGTGGAGTCATCAGCAATTGTGAGTATGACTGCCAAAACTAATAAGAGGAGGGGGTGCAAGCAACTAGACAGATTTTTGTTTGTTTGCTTCATACCTAAGTGAACAAATAACATCCCCTGAGATTTCCTTGACAGCTATTGCCTTTTTTCCCCCTTTATCTGGGCTTATAAAGCAAGAGTTGGCAACTACCAGGCATTGGATGTCACATTGATCAGCACAACACATTGAAAGGTCCCATTCCCTCTTCCCAGAAAAAAAAAACCTTGTGTGTGATTTTTGTTTGTTTCATACCTAAGTGAACAAATAGCATCCCCTGAGATTTCCTTGATAGCTATTGCCTTTTTTTTCTTTATTTGGGCTTATAAAGCTATTTAGTGTAGGTCGGGATCTCTTTGGTGATAAAGAATTGCATCGGACAGGGGCCTGAATTTCACATTCTGTACTTTATAAATCCTTCAGTGTCAAAACAGCAAATTTCCATTCAAATTTAGTTTTAAGGTACTCTAGAAATTATTAAAATAAACATATGAAGGAGAAGTGTGGCTGGGTCTCCCTCTTTCTGTCAACGTGCTTGTTGCAATCCATGCTTTGGGAGATAACCTTGATAAAACATGGAGGCTTTCCATATGTGTACAGCTGACAAATCGAAGACATTATCCTCTTTCCCACATTGAGGGGATGCTTATCATTTCCCTCATACAAGATAAGAGTTCAAGTTGTGTTGATGCTCGATCGAATAATTTAATTTTTAATTTAATACACTTTATTTATATTCTGCTTTATCTCCCCCGAGGGACTCTAGGGAGATAAATTATTTATATAAATTATTTATGTGGAGGAAACAAAGTCATAGATTTGAAATATGAATGCCAAACTGTAGAATGAACAAATTCTGCATCTGGGCACTGTAGATATAATAAGAGAGCCATTTAAAGACCTATTGTGGTCTCAGTGTGACAGTAATACATAAATGAGGCTGAGGGCGCTTCCAGACAGCGTCATAATTCGGGTCAAAGAAGTGGGGTAAAAAATTTGTGGGCCTTGACAGCAAAGCCAAACACAGACCTGTCAGTCCCGGTAAATGATCCCACAATGTCCTGACACCTTCTTTTGTGGCAGACTTTAGAAATATGCAAGATGAATGGGGGGGACATCCAGCGGAAATTTACCTTTCATTTTTTAATTGACGCTCTGAGATGCACTGGACCTTATATGCCTTGGTGTAGAGATATCTAAATATACACACAAGCAGATTACCTCTCCTCACCCCACTGTAAATCCAAGCTCTGTTTAATTTCAGAAAGATCAAAACAAAGGAATTGCAGAGAGTTTTCATGGGAATTGCTCTCTAATTGCGCTTCCATTTAGCCATCTGTGTGTCCATGACCTCATTTTTTTACAGCCCTCATCAGCTATTTCAGGATTTAACTGAAGAAATCCACACCAGTGTATAGGAACAAAGACACTTGTTTTCCTTGACTGCAGGGATATACAGTCATGTGAATATGCATATTTTTCAGCAAAAATGGATTTTAAGCATATCTTTTAAATAATAATCAGCATAAGCTTTATTTATATCCCGCCTCCACTCCCTGAAAGAACTTGGGGTGGCTTACAACAGAAGAAACACAATAAAGTAAGAATAAACATACAACCAAATCAAACTTAAATCACACAATAAGTAAAGCACAAAAATGTGTTTTCATCTGTTAATTCGAATCAGTGTTCATTTTCCTTAAAAGTCTTTAGCCACCCCCTCCTTGTTTATTCCGGTTTCTTCTGCATTTTAGGGCTTGTGCAGAAGAGCCCTAAGAAAGCTAAGAAACAATATGTATAGCAAGAGTTAGAAAGTGACAGTGGAAATAGAGAAAACTAACAATAGCAACCAAGGCAGCCTTGGAGAAAAACCAGCTTGACTGAATAATGGAGATGGTATCTTGATTTCTTTACGCTCTGTTGATGGTTTTGCAGATGTTGGAGTTGCACCTCATTGAGACTCATTAAGAGTTTATAAGATTACAACACTAGATTTGAGACACATAATTACTGTGCTGGTGAAAGGTGTGCTCCAGATATCCCAGAAGTTGATTTATGAACCAAGATAAGGCAATTGTCAGTAAGAAAATAAAAACTGAGGTGGAGAAGCCTAGCAATTTTCCATCATTTAGTGTCACACTTTCAGGTTTCTCCATCTGATTGTTATTTTCTCACCAAAGATTGCCTTGTTCTAGGTACATACATCATGTCATCTTGACCAAGAGCAATTTTGAGCCCCCAGGTGACTTCAGGCTGATCCCTTGTTTCTTTGAAGGACCCTCTGAACCTAAAACATTTTATAAATGGTCAAAACCATGGTGAAAAGGTAAATAAAGGTCTTAAAATGGGTGACATGAGGAGATGACCTCAAAAAGATTCCCATGGGCATCAGTGTGCTCCAACAGCCCGTGGCAGCTGCCCATCCAGTTTCAGGTGATGGCTTTGTCGCCACAATTAGAAATCTTATTCAAATAAAAGTATGGTATCTCAAGACATATCAAATTGGAAATACATAAAATGCTCATCAGTTCTAAATTGGCTTTGTACTGGGGTCAAAGCAGATATATAAATGCAAAATCATTTATGTAACTAATTAAAGTAAGTAGTCAATATGTTTGGGTTTCTGTGAAATTAATCTTGTCATAAGAAGAGAAAAAATATATAAAATAGTAAATTTCATTTTAAAAAGCAGCTGTAAAGAGTACACTGCTACAAAGTTGCAAATATGATAATATTCCAATGGAAAAATAGCTATATTTATAAAGATTATGGATAAAATATTGGTGGTGGTGTCCTGTCACATTATAGTTTTGTTCAAAGGGTGTTCCATGGAGTAGAACATATAACTGACCAAAATATTTTACGATAGAGGATATTAGAGGATATTTCAAACACTCTAAAGATTGAAAAGACATTTGATGGCAGAACCAGACTTCAAAACAAGACCTAAATCCAATGTATCAACTAGAGTTAGATGTATTGAATAAATGTAATTTGTGTAGCCTTTGGATGAACAGTGATTTATTCAATGGGTCTGCTCTAGTTGAGCCACAAAAGGTTTGAGGCACATATACTTAAAGTAGGCTAGGTCCAGTTTTAGTAACTGGAGAATCCCAAAGCCATGCCAGGATCCCAAGGCACCAACTGCACTTGAGCTGCAGCATACATTTGCCTTGGGGTATGCTTAACTGAGTGCTTTGGGGCATAGCGATGGCTCCTAGAGGCATCATTATGCCAAGAGGCATTATGTCCAACACTAGCCCACTCAAAGTTAGGGTTGCCTGACCAGGTATAACTGGTGTAAAAGGGGTGTGTGCATCCTAAACTGGAACTCTTTCATGTTCCAATATGCTAGAAGTGTTAAGATAACAGAGTCTTTAAATATAACCCTAGATACCTGTTAGGGGTAATGACTGAAAGGACTGATTGAGCAGTAAAATGAACTTGAGAGCTTTAGATTCTTTGTGGCTTCATTTTTTTCTGTTGACTTTTAAAGCACTGCATCTTTCTCCCCTCTTCTCTCTCCTCTCTCTCCCTCCCTGGTTCATTTTCAGACTTGCTAGAGAAGTCCCGTGTGGTGCATCATGAGAAGGGTGAAAGAAACTTCCACATCTTCTATCAGCTTCTGTCTGGAGCTTCAGATCAGCTGCTCAGTAGGTTCTTCATGTTTAAGAACTCCTTTGCTTACATGGAGGTAGGACTTGGGATCATATGAAATGCAGAAAGTGTCAGGGGAGAATTTTGGAATTGAGGGAAATGTAGAAAGGGACCATTCGCAGATCACTCATCAGTCCATTGAAGCATGATTACCCAAAGACAGCAGGTGAGATTGGATCATGAGGGTTAAAATAGATCTGGGGCTTGAAAGGGCTGGACTCAGGACCTATGTAAAGGTGTTAGACTGTTTCCTAAAAATCTTTATCCTAGAATCTTTCCAGATAGGTAAAAATGTTAGCAGAATCAAATCAAGCAGAATCAAATCAAGGCAAGCATTCTGTGCTGTAATTGACGCAAAGAAAAAGGAATTCCAATAGCTGTAAGTGGCACAGCAAACAGCCCCATCCCAAGATGCCCTCTTTGATATAATGATTATGGTGTAGAAAGAGTTCTACATCACATTAACACTAACAGATTTCTTATAACATGATTTTCCATGGATTACGATAATTGCATGGAGTATTGTCTTAGAGTTTCGGTTGTGCAACTAGAAAAAAGCACTCTTTGCAAATGTGAATTTGATGAAATGTGAACAGAACTGTGCCAGAAATTCAGCAAATATATATTACGATTCTTATGCATTTAATGAAAATAAGTTATTTTATGGAGTTGCTTTGGGGACATGAGAATGGAGAAGACATAACTGCCTCCTTGATGTGAAGGAATCAAGGAAGGGATGAAGGGAGGGCAATTAAAGAAGTTATGATGATGACGGCAGTTCCTTCTCTTCAACAGAACAATTAAAACTAGAACGAGATTGTAGCCTTTATGGCTACCTTAACAAGGATGCCACAAGCCTGCAGGGTATGCATGATGCAACAAACTTCAAAGCTGTTCAGGTATGAGCTGTATTCTGTTGGGTTGGGAATCTGAGTTGTATTGATCAGCGAGAGGAAAAAGGCTCTCCTATATATCATAATAGCAATATGATTGTCCAAAGTTAGTTCCTTTAATGGTTGTTCCTTGTATAAAGAAGAGGCAAACCCAAAAAATATTCCAAAGAAAAAAAATGTAAGAGGAACTGTAATCCCCCTCCCCAAAGTAAAATGAAGACTGAGCATGCTCGTTGGTTTGGTGGCAAATGAGAGTGGGATGCAGAAAAACAAGGAGGAAAGGCCTGGAACAAGGTATTCTTGGAAACAGTATGGCTGGCCAGCCATGCTATCTGGAACCCTGAAGAAAAATACTGTTGTTGAGTGGAGATGATATACAGTGCTATTTAACATTATACTATAGATGCCCTTTTAGAAGTACATTTGTGTGAGACCACTGAACATCCCTATAAAACCTGTGGCACTGTGCAGGCCATATCTGTGTTTCTTGTTACTTTTGTTCTTTTTGTGGGGATTTGTAAAAAGGAACCATGATGTAATGGGTTGACTGGAAAGGCATGTGTCGGCAGCTGATTAACTGAGCATGGCGGGAGCCAGAATTCTGATTGGTTACTGTCTCTAGCTTGCTGCTGAGATAAACAGTTTTAACTGCCACTTTCACCTCAAAGAGTGAAGAGAGCGCTGACTGGAAACAGTCAGGAAGGAAAAGCCGGTCTGAGTCCCTCTGCGGAGGTAGAGAAGATCGGGATATTAAAGTTTTAAATATATAAATAATAAATAAATGGCTGCCAACTGAAGCCTGATCATTTCTAAGGCATGAAGCATATTTTAAAGACTGTTTAAAAGGACTGTTTATTCCTTCTGTTCTCTGTAAGAATTCAGAGAGACTGCTATATATATTGTTGCTCTGTTTGACTCTTTTGAGCTGAAGTAAAGTTAATGTTACTCGTTACACAAATCTAAGTGATACATTATTATACTGCTGGGTATATTTTGGTTCAGAAACAGTGGTAAAGCTTCTTTTTATTTACATTTTCAACCTCCAACACTTTTTGCATCACATCTCATTTTTGTCATTGGATTTTTGCCTCTGTTTCCGGTACTGTCTTACACCTTGGTTTATTTCTATAAGGTGATGAGCTGAGGATCTTTATGATGTTCAAAATCTGTCCTGCTTTTGTTTCCATGAAGGATGCCATGCGAGACATTGGCTTCTCCCCATCAGAAGTGACGGCAGTGCTGGAAGTGATCGCTGTTGTCCTCAAATTGGGCAACGTGCAGCTGCGGGAACAGTTTCAAGCCAGTGGGGCAGAGTCATGTGATATCCAGGATGACAAAGGTCAGCAGGATAGGGTGCATCATCTCCAGATTTACAGCGACAGCTCAGTCCAACCTCAGTTTTGCACAACTACTGGGGATTTTGAGAGTATGATCTTTCTGTCCCATGTATGAATGCCCACAGTTTGCTTTCTATTCGCTTCATATTCTTATTTCGACACCATACTTGCTTTCATTTTGTTAAATAGATTTGGAATGTAAGGTGCTCTCTATGTGAGAGCCAGGAGAGGGAGACAGGTAGAGACACAATCCATTCACATTTTGGTGATACAGTATTACTGAGATGTGCAGATCTGCAAAAGAAACTGTTATATGTCTCATGTACTTCCTCTTGAATGATAACATCTAGTAAACAACATTGTACCATCATATTTAAGTTTCCCCACCCATACAGCTTTCATTGATATGAAGTGGGGATTAGATTCTGTTTCATCAGATTCTACTAGGGAGGAGGAGGAGGAGGATGTAGAACTGCCAGTTTGCATAATATACAGCCACACTCTCAACATAAAGAGTCGTTCAGACCAAGGAGCTGCCCTTTTCTTCCTTTACTTCCAGATAAGGGATTATCTTGTTGAAGATGACAATTTAAGGAAGGTGCTATCGATCTGTCTTTTTATTTGTCTTTCTCAGCTTTCTCCAACTAGCTACCTTCTAAATGGATTGTCGAAGGTTTTCGTGGCCGGAATTACTGGGTTGCTGTAAGTTTTTAGGGCTGTATGGCCATGTTCCAAAAGAATTCTCTCCTGATGTTTCACCTGCATCTATGACAGGCATGCTCAGAGGTTGTGAGTTCTGTTGGAAACTAGGAAAATATCCCCATTATCTATCTGTCTGTCTATCTATCTATCTATCTATCTATCTATCTATCTATCTATCTATCTATCTATCCCGTTTTCCTACTTTCCAACAGACCTCACAACCTCTGAGGATGCCTGCCATAGATACAGGTGAAATGTCAGAATGCTTCTGCAACATGGCCATACAGCCCTAAAAACATACAGCTATTTTCCAACTGTTTTGTAATTAGCCACTATACTTCATGATCAAGCAAAAGAGAGATTTTTGAAGTCCAAAACATGGAGAATTCATTCTGTGTAATTCCTGAGAAATGCTAGTAGTGGTACGGGATGCTTAAGGTAGAAGATAATAGAGGGTTCCCTTATCTTAGCAGATAATGACAAGCATCCAAAAACAGCACACATATTTTTATTGAGAAATCGTGAGAGAATCATAGAATCATAGAATGAGAAGAGACCTCATGGGCCATCCAGTCCAACACCCTGCCAAGACGTAGGAATATTGCATTCAAAGCACCCCTGACAGATGGCCATCCAGCCTCTGTTTAAAAGCTTCCAAAGAAGGAGCCTCCACCACACTCCAGGGCAGAGAGTTCCACTGCTGAACGGCTCTCACAGCCAGGAAGTTCTTCCTGATGTACAGATGGAATCTCCTTTCTTGTAGTTTGAAGCCATTGTTCTGTGTCCTAGTCTCCAGGGAAGCAGAAAACAAGCTTGCTCCTTCCTCCCTGTGGCTTCCTCTCACATATTTATACATTACTATCAGATCTCCTCTCAGCCTTCTCTTCTTCAGGCTAAACATGCCCAGCTCTTTAAGCCACTCCTCATAGGGCTTGTTCTCCAGGCCCTTGATCATTTTAGTCGTCCTCCTCTGGACACGTTCCAGCTTGTCAATATCTCCCTTCAATTGTGGTGCCCAGAATTGGACACAATATTCCAGGTGTGGTCTAACCAAAGTGGAATAGAGGGGGAGCATGACTTCCCTAGATCTAGACACTATGCTCCTATTGATGTAGTGGATCTCTCAAGCAGAGCATGTGATGATTCAATCAGCTCATAAGCCCACCCCCAACCACACATTAACCGAGAAAGCAATAAAACTTACTCTTCTTCATAAAATATATAAGAATAGTTTTACTCATAAATATGTGTGCCTTATCAGCATGGTTTCATCTTATTGAGGAAAGTTAAAAAGAAGGAAATGTGCTATTATATGGTGTCAGGAAATTGTTAAAACAGTGGCCCTTATCACACATGCTGCATGGATTGCAAACAGTAAGTGACCAAAATGTGGGAATCTCTGTCCTAAAGTGGCATGCAGTCTAACCACTTCAGGCAGTTCTCAACACATTTACTTTTCCAAATTGTAACAGTCAAATTTACACATGAGGTTGACTTATACATCAGTATATAACATTATTAGAAAATTTTACCTGCTGCACCAGAAAGATAACTTGGCTCACATTTGTATAAATGCTGTATAAATTTTTAAAGGTAATGGAAGTTTACTCTGATTATCCCCTGTCTCCTAAGTTAGACATGGGATATTCACGGGTTATCCAAATTTCAGGCATTCTTTGTGAACTCCATGATGGGTTTCAAAGTTTACCAGAACAGAGTTTGAAAGCAAGTTGTTTAGAAGAGTGGCAATTCCCAGTTTTTGCCATTTCCACATAATGAAAAGAACCTTTTTACAACTTTTTGCAATTTTTTTAGGAGCCCCCCTTGGCACAGTGGGTTAAACCACTGAGCTGCAGAACTTGCTGACCAAAAGGTCAGTGGTTCAAATCCTGGGAGCAGGTTGAGCTCCCACTGTTAGCCCCAGCTTCTGCCAACATAGCAGTTAGAAAAAATGCAAATGTGAATAGATCAATAGGTACCACTCTGGCGGGAAGGTAACAGTGCTCCATGCAGTCATGCTGGCCACATGACCTTGGAAGTGTCTATGGACAACGTCGGCTCTTTGGCTTAGAAATGGAGATAAGCACCACCCCCCAGAATTGGACATGACACAACTTAATATCAAGGGGAAAACTTTACCTTATGATGGTTTGATTTGTGCCATAATCTCTCAAGACTCTTCCCATGTTACTTTTACAAACACAAAACTTTAACATCAGAAGTGAAGTAGCTTTGTTTAATTGGGAGGCATTTACACAACAGACACTCACACACACAAAATCTACAACTCTTCAGGTTAGCCTGAGTTTCATAATTTTCTATACTGCAATTTATGAAGCACTGTCACTACTGTATTTGAATGGGGTGTACTCAGCGACACTGCTTTTGTGTGGGTCAACATGAGCTTGCAAAATAACTGGCTAAATTGTGTCCTCCACCCTACCACCATCTCGAGATAAAGCCTGCCTAACAGCCATTCGATGGGCTGTGTGCATGGACACAACTATAATGGGGAGGATGGCACACAGGAATGATCCTCCCACTGCAATTGTGTGTCCCAAGTTTTGTCAAACAAGTATTTGTCAGGTGGGTTGAAATCGCAATCCACATAGAGAGGAGGACTCCCCTTCCAGTAGACAGAGTGAGACAAGTAGGTGGGTAGAGGTATATTGGCAACATTATTTCCTCTATGTCTCCAATGCAAGCCTGCCCTCCCTGTGCCCATTTTGCCAGAGTTTCAACAGCTGGGCAGCTTTGGAAGCCTCAACTTCCCCTTTGCCTTTGATAGCAAATGTCTTGGGCTAACTCTGATAGAGAGAAGGCACAGGGGGTGGCTACTATTCATTTCCCCAAATACCAGTTCTCCCAATGAACGTAAGTAAAGAAGAGTGAATGTGAACAGATAGAAGTCACTCTGTATGTGTAATTTTCAGTATCTTTGGGTATGAGTGAGAGGATGTAAGGTGGACACGAGCCTTGATCATATTCACCATCTACCCATGTCCTACCTTTGGCCAGACCTCTAAACCTGACCCTTCCTGAAGCCTTGGAGGGATGAGAGCAATTGTTCAGAGCCTTGCCTCAATCTTGAATGTCTGGTTCCATTACTTGCGACGTGTTGCCACGGTTAGAAAAAGATAAAAATGGGCATTTGCTTTCTCTTTTTCCACTCCCACATCTTCCACATTGCAGTGGTACGAGAGATCTGTCAGCTGATCCAGGTGGATGAATCTATACTGGAGCATGCTTTATGTTCTCGCACAGTCGAAACCAATCAAGAGAAGGTGGTGACAACACTGAGTGTCCCTCAAGTGAGTATGGGGCATAAGGAAACATATACACACATACGCACGTATACTTTGTAGTATGTCGCTGATTCCCATGCAGAAATCTATAGTGGGATACCTGCATTATCGTTTTCTTCAGTTCAATGGGTTTCAAAGTTGGGGGCAGTCACACTGACTCAAGTTATCTTTGAGCCACTTTAAACTGCAAATTTTCTGTTTCATGCTAGATTTTGCTTTTTGACATTCAATTCCAAACAGAACCACTGGTACAAAGTTTTTTGTTCGGTATACAAAGTTGGGCCTGAAAATACAGGTATTTTATGTTAGCCTGATGACTTCAAGAAGCAAGCTCTTTTTACTGGTAGCACTTTGTTGATCAAATTTATCCCTCAGGAGTTTCTTCGGGGTTATAGAAATGCATTAAAACTGATTTGAGCCTAACTGTTCCACAGAGCCTTTCGGGAGAGTGAGACAGAGAGCAGAGGTGGATTTAATTGCCTGCTGCTTCTTTCTCATCTGTTTTTTTAATACTCATAAATATTTTAATTTTAATGTATATTGTTTTATTGCTGTATTGCTTTAACTGAATTTGTTCCTAGGGCTACTATGTGCGGGATGCTCTAGCAAAGAACATATATAACCGGTTGTTCAACTGGCTGATTAACAGGATTAATGAGAGCATCAAAGTGAGTATACATGGTAGTTCTATCAATCTGATTAAAAACATCAACTCCCCTTGAAGTGGCATTTATATACCAGTAGACAAACAGGGTTCGGTATTCCTGAGCAGGCTGTTCGTAGGATGCATATCTTGTTTTTATCACACTTAATAAGGGTGGATAAAAGAGCCTTCCCTATCTATTCCCTGTTAAATGATTCAAAAGATTAAGTGTGTAAATGCTTTCAGAACATCATGATTCAATAAAACTGATAAACACAGGTTCTTTGTTTTCATAGGTGACAACAACGGAGCGCAAGAAAGTGATGGGTGTTCTGGATATTTATGGCTTTGAGATTTTTCAAGTGAGTGACAGATATTCTGAAGACAGAGATTTGGTAACAGTCTTGAAAGTTTCAATGAAACTCTGTCCTGTTAGGATATTAAAATATGGTCTGTGTGCATTTTAAACTAAGCAACATAAGGAAAAAACTGAATTTATGATGTTCAAAAAGGCTGTGATGGGTGCTGAGTTGGAGAAAGTAGGCAGAGTCTTCCAACCCACCCCAAAGGTGGGAAAACTTTGTCCCGTCAGTCTCACTCATCAGGGCCCTTTGATGTATCAAAATATCTGGAATGGTACACTGCTTTCCCCAATATATTTTAGATTTTTAAGTTTTTCATTGATTCCCTCGTTTTTGCAGGACAACAGTTTTGAGCAGTTTGTTATCAATTACTGTAATGAAAAGCTCCAGCAAATCTTCATTCTGTTGACCCTGAAGGAGGAGCAAGAAGAGTACATCCGCGAGGTAGATTTTGTTCATATTAATGGTTTACACAATAAAATGAAATGCCATATTTCATTGCATAATAGTCGCTAATGCATAACAGTCACTCTCCCATTTTGGGGATAGCAAAAGTTGGTATTTTCCAGAGGAAGCAAACCAGACAATCTCCACACCAACACTGACAAAGAAACAAGAAATGTTGTTTACTCACAAGCATACAGAAATTACATATATTAGAAACCATCACTTTCTCATTACTTTATTTTCCAGGTAACCAGACTGGGCCACAGCAATGCGTGGCAGGGGACGGCTAGTTTTTCATTTTAAAAAAGGAAAAATTGTGACTATTATGCAATTAAATACAGTAGTACATATTCAAATAACTGCAAATGGACAGCTACTAATAATGTTAAGGATTAACCATAAAACCAGAAAGAAATGGTATGTGCATTTTATAAGATAATAGAAAGATGGCACATACTATTGACTTTTGGGAATTCTTGGAGCATTAAGTGATTACTATAAGACCAGATCGGCTTTTGAGCTGACGCTGTTTGGCTTTACAATATGTTCGTAAGAACCTTTTCCACATTAAATTACAACTTTCATGAATGACTTACTAGGGAGGTCAAGGGGTTCCCCTTCTTTGAAATAGGCAAGTTTCATCATTCTTGGTGTTATCAGTATTGTTAATGTTGGTACAGTTGCCTTGTGCAAGCTTTTTTAGACTCTTGTGTTCTTGTGTTTTGGTATCAGTACGTAGTTTGTAGACTTCTCCCTACTTTTTAATGTGTATCACTACACTGATATTTTCATTCTCGGAGTGGTAATTTTGATCCCCATGCCCCAAGGTTCATCCTTAGGGCCCTTCCACACAGCCATATAACCCAAAATATCAAGACAGATAATCCACAATATCTCCTTTAACTGGGTTATTTGAGTCCACTCTGCCATATAATCCAGTTCAATGTGGATTTTATACAGCTGTGTGGAAAGGGCCTTACTTGCATCCCTAAGTTTGTTCCTTCTTGGCTGAGCAGCATGACAGCATTTTGAAATGCAACAGAGGAAGCTAGTTGTGAGTTCTCTTTCCATTGTGCTTTTTCTCTTCTTCAGGGGGTTACTTGGACTTCTGTGGACTTTTTTGATAACAGCATCATCTGCAACTTGATAGAAGATGTAAGTTGCTTTCAGAATCGGGTAGATAAACTAGAGGCAATGCACCACTTGTATAATCAATTTTTTCTTCCAATGCTTGTGTGAGTGTCGGAATCAATGACATGTCTGATTAAGGTAGACTTGGAAGACCTGGGGTCAGGTCTCTACATATTATTGGAAATAGATTATCCTGGATCCTAAAATAAGTGAACTTAAAGAGAGGCTCAGGCACCATCTACACTGCATTATATGGTCATTGTAGACTCATATTAAGCTTGTCTGGAAACAATTAAGCTGCCTAATAGTGAAAATTGATAACTACAAAGAAAAAATCTTGTTGAAGTTTGCATGTGGCCTTCTCACCTTCCCCACCCCACCTTTTCAAGTCAGCAGAAGGGAGAAGTGTCCTTCCTCTCTGGATCAAGACTGTGAGATGTGCAACAAGAGCTGGTTTGTAACTACTGCTTCTTTGCGCAGAACACAGGTGGGATTCTGGCTATGTTGGATGAGGAATGCCTTCGCCCAGGGAAAGTGAATGAAACTACCTTCCTCAACAAGCTCAATGTCACATTTAAGGATAACCAACGCTATGAGAGCAGAGTAACCCAGAATGCCAAGCGTATAATGGACTCCAGCTTGTCTGCACAATGCTTTCGCATTCACCACTATGCTGGCAAGGTAAGTGGTCCCTGGGAGACTTTGAGCAGACAGTGAGAAATAACAAAATGCCATTCCTGGAGTGCAATGGGTTTTAGTCTTGTTTTCAAAAGACACACATATTTTAGAGACTTTTCAGTTTGAGTTGCGTAGTGGAACTGTAATTGTATAACAGCTAGGACCACTGTCCATCCTGGCTGGAGAGGGTAGGGCGGGGGGGGGGGGTTGTGTCTAGGAGTTGCAATATAAAGAAAAAAAACCTTTCCAGACTTTGGGCATAGGACAAGAATCTCGGAATGTTGGTGCTGTCTTCTCACAAAGATTCACCAGATTTTGAGTTTTCGTGATCCAAGGCATTTAGAAGGTCTGAAGCAGAAAACTGAAATATTATCCCTTTATATTTATTGTAAAAAAAAAGAGAGAAATTTGCTGACTGAGATGTAGTCCTTTATACCTTCATGAGCTTTCAATTGCTAAGAATGTAAAGTACCTATTAATTCATATATTATTTAACACTAAGTTCCTCTTTGTACTTTATTGATATTCTCCCAGTTCCATTAAGACAGTGCACCAGATGAGGGACCAGTGACCTTCACAGGTCCTTCTTAACCAAGGAAGCAAATGACAACTTAGACAGCTTCTTTGTGAAAATAATACATTTTCCCTACTCATCACTGTGTTTTGCAAAGACACTGTGCTAATAATTCAATTGCTATTATTAAATACAACAATGCTGGAAAAGTAATTTGTCTTGTTTGTTCTGTTCATGACCTTTCGGTTACTTTCTGTTAATTTTAAGAAGGAAATTCTTAAAATTTATAAGAAAATAGAAAAATTCATATAGAAATTTCTCTGGAAATGCCCTTAAAAATGTTGTCCCAGGTGTTCATTTACATTTCTTATAGCTTATTATTTCCAGGCACTTTCTGGGCTTGAGTCACATTAGTTCAGTCTGCGTACGTAGCATCAGCGACTGAATGTTTCTTTTTTCTCTGCCTCCCAAATAAAAAGTAGAAAAGAAAAAAATCTGTCCACAAATACCATATTAAGATAGGTATCATGGAGAAGGAAGAGTTCTAGTGTAGGTCTATTTGCTCTGCATGGAGATGATTTTTTAATATATGACTAAGTGAAGTGGTGTGTTTTCATTCCTTAGATAGAAGGGGGGGGGGAAGGGTAGTCCTAGGTTCATCTACACTGCACAGTTTTATAGCTGTTTGATCCCAATTGAATTGCCTTGGCTCAACTTTATGGAACAGGAATGCTGGGATATGTAGTCTGGGGAGAGACTTAGAATTCTTCACCAAAGTACCCTCGGTGGCGCAGTGGGTTAAACCCTTGTGCCGGCAGGACTGAAGACCAACAGGTCGCAGATTCAAATCCGGGCAGAGGCGGATGAGCTCCCTCTATCAGCTCCAGCTCCTCATGCGGGGACATAAGAGAAGCCTCCCACAAGGATGATAAAAACATCAAATCATCCGAGCGTCCCCTGGGCAACATCCTTGCAGACGGCCAATTCTCTCACACCAGAAGCGACTTGCAGTTTCTCAAGTTGCTCCTGACATGACCAAAAAAACCAAAGCATTGGAAAGGTATGTGTCAAGTAAAGACCTTTTGTGTCTCTTACAAAACTACATCCAAAAGCCTGCTGTATTCACAGATGCATTGATTCGGGCACAGGTACGCTACCTTGGCCTTGAGCCATGGGGAGAGGTGGGTAAGAAATAGTTGTTGTTGTTGTTGTTGTTATTATTATTATTATTATTATTATTATTATTATTATTATTACAAATCCCACAATTCGTCAGGATGGAGTCAAAGTGGTATGAAACCTCTGTAATGGTGCAGGGTATATTTACTCCTAGTAAGAAATTGCAGCCTTAATAAGATTTTAGCAAAAGTTACGTTCTAGGAACTTACTTGGAAACAGTGAAGGAATTGATTTGCAGGCCAGAACATGTGGTTTCTATCTTAAGATATCACTCTTTTTCACACTCTGGCTGAGTTTTCTCTTCTTTATGCCTCCCCAACCCATCCAGCAGTAAACTATGTGTTTGACTTACTTATCTTCTGAATCTTCTCCATTTCAGGTGACTTACAACGTGGCTGGATTCATAGAGAAGAACAATGACTTACTCTTTAGGGATCTGTCACAGGCCATGTGGAAGGCCAAGCACGGGCTGTTGCGCAGCCTCTTCCCTGAAGGGGACCCTCAAAAAACCTCACACAAACGTCCGCCTACAGCTGGTTCCCAATTCAAAGCTTCTGTAATGACCCTCATGAAGAACCTCTACTCCAAGAACCCTAATTATATAAGGTAGTGTGCATATGCATGAAGCACTGAGGATAGATTTGGGCTGTGTTTGAACGAGTCTGCAGGAAGGGATGTGGGAGTCTAGCAATCTGACTAATCTTACATTCCCTTTTCTGCCAGGTGCATCCGGCCCAATGACATCCAAAAGCCTGCTGTATTCACAGATGCATTGGTTCGGGCACAGGTACGTTACCTTGGCCTGTTGGAGAATGTACGTGTTCGTCGGGCTGGCTATGCCTATCGGCAGGCCTATGAGCCATGTCTGGAGCGTTACAAGATGCTGTGCAAGGGGACCTGGCCACATTGGAAAGGAAGTGCAAGGTAAGTGTAGAGGAAAGTTTCCTGAGGGCTTGAGAAATTGATTTAATGATGTTCTGCTTTCTGGACCCTTTCCTGGAAGGCCAAGATCCACCATAAACAGGCAATTAAGCCAACTTTATATAGAATTCTTCCAGCAATGCTACACCCTCCACTATTTCACTATTTCACAGAAGAAAACTGGGACACTTGTGATCAAGCAACATCAGCATGTGGTCAAGATGGTACAAGTTATTAATAAAGAAGAACACCTGAACTGGAAGAGACCACAGGGTTTTGCTTTTGTCTGAGCCTCCTGGGAAGAGCAAGATTGTACTTCTCCTCTCTCCCTAATAAGTTATCTGAGCCAGGCTACTACTGCACTTTGAACTATTCCTGCATAGTTCCCAATATGGAAAAATGAGAGGAAACTGGGGCCCCTTCTACAATGCCATATAATCCAGAGTATCAAATCAGATAATCTAAATTATTTGATTTGAACTGGATTATATGAGTCTACACTGCAAGATAATCCAGTTCAAAGCAGATAATGTGGATTTTATATGAGAGTGTAGAAGAAGACTGGGACATTTTAGAAGCAGCTGATAATGTGGGACAGCAGAGGATTAAACAAAACCACTCCCAAATTGGAACAGTTGCAGGTATGCAGTTGATCAAGCTAAAGACTGTAACAGTCATAGAAACTTTGGAGCAAGCACTATTTCCAAACCATAAATGCCATGCTTCGTTTTTGTCATACCACACTGGAGTTGTATCTGGCATCTTTATCAATGGAACACATCAAGGACATGGCTCTAAATGCCTTGTATATTTTGGACAGTCCAGTTGATTCCCAAACCAATTCAGAGTGAGCACAGCACTGTCTGTACTGATTATATTTAGGCTAGATACTTTCCGACCACTTTCCCATTATCCTTTTCCTGATGCAGGGAGGGCGTTCAGACCCTTTTGAGCAGTTTGGCCATCGACCCTAAGGAACTGGCATATGGATACAAAAAGATCTTCATACGAACACCACGTACAGTAAGTTGTGGGTAACTGAAAATCTTTAGTTAACCACAATGGGATGTGATCTGACAGTCTTCACTGGAGAAATCAGTGAATTTGTTTGATCCTCAGTTTCACATACCATTTGTGATAACAGAGTGAAACTTCATAAGGGAGAATTTTCTGTGTGGTCATCTCTGACTCCATATTGCTGGCTTTTCAACTTTGCCCTTGCAGCTTTTTGATCTGGAGAGCAGACGACAACGGCGAGTTGGGGAGCTGGCAGCCCTGATCCAAGCTACTTTCCGTGCATGGAAATGCCGCAAACACTATCTACAGATTCGCAAGAGCCAAATCGTTATCTCTGCCTGGTTCCGGGGCCATGCAGTAAGATGCAGATATGAACTCACATTTGATCCTTGAATTTAGACTTGCAACGTATTCTTATTCTTTTCAATGGATGGTGGAGTAGTTCAAAGTTTTTGTTTGGCATGCATCTGTGGGGAGGGTGGGTTCCACCACTGGTTATGCAATACTTTCCTGGCTTATGATTTGCCCCTTTAGTTTCTAAAGATGTGCACCAGCCAACCACAAAATATGCTGGTGCCGGTGAGGAACGATTACAGATTCTGATGGTAGAAGTTACAATGTGGGCAAAAAAGCTTGAAACTGTTTTGTTTTCTCATCAGTTGTCATAAGTGTCACAAAATGTGGAAAGGAATTACAGTAGTGAGTGATGAATTACTACCTTCTCTTGCCTTCTGAGGAGTCATCCTTAACAATTTTATCATCTCAGTTCATGGGAGTAAGAACCATTAAATAACATTGGCCATCAGATCAACCCTATGCATTGGAGTTAGGAGCAGTAGTACATCCATTAGCAAAACCATTTATCTACCAAAACTATACACTGCTAATAGAGCAGTGCTTTTCAACCTGGGGGTTGGGACCCCCTGGGGGGTGGTCATCAAAGACCATCAGCAAACACAGTATTTTCTGTTGGTCATGGGGGCTCTGTGTGGGAAGTTTGGCCCAATTCTGTCACTGGTGAGGTTTTGAATGCTCTTTGATTGTACGTAAATTCCAGCAATTACAACTCCCAAATGGCAAGGTCTTTTTCCCCCAAACTCCACCTGTGCACATTTGGGCATATTGAGTATTTGTGCCAAGTTTGGTCCAGATCCATCATTGTTTGAGTCCACAGTGCTCTCTGGATGTAGGTGAACTACAACTCCAAAACTCAAGGTCAATGACCACCAAACCCTTCCAGTATTTTCTGTTGGTCATGGGAGTTCTTTGTGCCAAGTCTGGTTCAATTCCGTCATTGGTGGAGTTCAGAATGCTCTTTGATTGCAGGTGGACTATAAATCCCAGCAACTACAACTCCCAAATGACAAAACCAATTCACCGCCCAACCTCACCAGCATTCCAATTAGGGCATGTCAAGTATTTGTGCCAAATTTGGTCCAGTGAATGAAAATACATCCTGCATATCAGATATTTACGATTCATAACAGTAGCAAAATTACAATTATGAAGTAACAACAAAAATAATTTTATAGTTGAGGGGAAACCACAATATGAGGAACTGTATTAAGGGGTTGCAGCATTAGGAACGTTGAGAACCACTGTACTAGAGTTTAGAGCTGCTAATCACAATACGACACCCCTTCACTCCTTTGCCATTTCTGATGTTTTCTCCAAAAGGAAAACCAACTTTTGACAAATGGTATTGTTTTTATGTCCATCACTAACAAAATCACTAACAAATCTTCTGGAGTGTTTGGATTGAGATTTGGGCATGAGCAGAGTTGACCCTGGCACACACTAAGAAGAGCCTAATCAACTTCTAAAAGGCACCAAATGGGCAAAGTGACCACTGGCACACACTAAAGAGGGCCTGAACAACTTCTAAAAGAACAACTTCTAAACTTCTAAAAGGCAGAGTGGACCCTGGCACTCTGAAACCCGGTTCCTTTCTAACATTTCTTCAATCTGTGCAAATAAGTTTGATCCACATTTTTTTTTTTGCAATTCCAAGCACCACACTACTATTTGCTGTGCTGAAATATATCTACAAAACATACTTATATTGATTTACCATTTAAAAATGCTTCGGTCTCCCATGGAATATAGTACTTGCAGAAAGGCAAATAATTTGTTTCAGAAAAATCCTAGCATCCTTGATAAACTACAATAACCAAAATTCTTCTGGGAAAGCCATATCACTTAAACCAGTATAAAGTCAAGACATGTTGCAGTGCAGATCACTCCTAAAAGTGACTTCCTCTATGAATTTGGAAGCCCTTTCTTGACTAGTAGCCATTCTTCACCTGGGGACCAGAGAAGAGGGTTTGGATCCTGAGACTTGGGAACTTTAATTATCAGTGCAGGATCTTTATCCTCTTTTCCACTAGTTGCAGAAATCATAGAATTCATTTCACAACAATCATTTCAACTCCTTATGCTGATTGAGTGAGGTTTTGCATTCTTGTGGTCTGCTCTCTGCTAAGGTGAACATTTTGTTTTGCAGCAAAAGAAGAAGTATGCAAAGATGAAGGCATCAGCTCTTCTTATCCAAGCCTATGTCCGGGGCTGGAAGGTGAGCTTGGACTATTCTATCAAATCCAGTTTTTAACTGATTAATATAAACCCACCCAAGGGGGTGACATGAACAGTCTCTGAGAACTTAATCACGTGAGGGAGTCAACCCAACATTGAAACTGATCCCTATGACACAACATCATGCATATCCTGCTGTCTTTTTGTCTCCTTCTTGCAATTAATCCATGCCTTGTTATTGATGGGGGAAAACTTTTGAATAGCTGCCAATCCTGCAATTTTGGGCAATGGGACCAATCTGCATTTGAAGTGATATCATAGGGCAGTATTCTCCTCTTCACTCACCCCCATCTCCCTTGCTATTCCTACTGTAAACTGCTTTTTAAAATATATATAAAATATTGCTGGAAAGGTGAAATTGCTATAAGAAAATATTTTTAAAAAATATATAGTAGCGGAAGTGCAGGAAGGCATGGTTATGAGAGTATGTAGGGTACAACCATGAAGCACTAACTGATGAAATGGCATAATTTTGTGAATGGGGAGAGGTATGGTAATGAGGCTGCTCATGCAGAAATGCAGCTGCTGTCAGTGATCGTGTGACTGACATGTAATGGTGGCTTTCTTTGATAAGGTTATGATTGTACTTGGAGCATATATATATCTCCATGGTGGCGCAGCAGGTTTAACTGCTAAGCTGCAGAACTTGCTGACCAGAAGGTCGGCGGTTCAAATCCATGGGACAGGATGAGCTCTCATTGTCCCAACTTCTGCCAACCTAGCAGTTCAAAAACATGCAAATGTGAGCAGATGAATAGCTCTGCTTTGGTGGGAAAGTAACAGCACTCCATGCAGTTATGCTGGCCATATGACCTAGGAAACATCTATGGACAACATCGGCTCTCTGGCTTAGAAATGGAGATGAGTACCACCACCATCCCCCCCCCCCCAGAGTTGGACTTGAGTAGACTTAATGTCAAGGGCAAAGCTTTAGATCAGGGGTCCTCAAACTAAGGCCCAAGGGCCGGATACAGCCCTCCAAGGTCATTTACCCAGCCCTTGCTCAGGATCAACCTAAGTCTGAAACAACTTGAAAGCATACAACTTGAAAGCATACAACAACAACAATCCTATCTCACCAGGCAAGAGCAGGGCCACACTTCCCATTGAAATACCAAGTTTATATTTGTTAAAATTGTTCTTCATTTCAATTATTGTATTGATTTTAAGTGTGTGTTTTTTGCACTGCAAATAGGATATGTGCAGTGTGTATAGGAATTCATTCATTTTTTTTCAATTTATAATCCAGCCCTCCAACAGTTTGAGGGATTGTGACCCAGCCCTCTGTTTAAAAGGTTTGAGGACCCCTGCTTTAGATAGATAGATAGAACATGTATAACTCTCCAATATAAAATCAGAAGTAACAGGAACAAAATGTGGGACTTTCCAGTCTTTTAAATTAGTTTGGGTGTGCCTATAATCACTTATTTATACAACAAAATCTTCTAAGACAAATACTCTTCAGTATCCTGTTACCTGGGTTGTTTGATTCAATTTCAGTTGGTTTAAGAGTTGCTAACATAAACTAAGACAATAAATAGCCAGAGAAGGCTGAATGTGTAAATTTATACACTGTTACTTGAATTTTGAACCATTATTCTTTTAAAATCTTGAGGTACAAACATGTTTATGCTGCACATGTGTGTCAAATGTTACAGCATTTCTGGACAGAACTATATATGGTCCGACTGTTTTCTGTGATGTTAATATTGAGCTATAAAGAAATCTTGTCCTTCAGCTAACCTGCTCCCTCTTCTGTCTGCTAAGTGCTATTGATCAAAAGTGAAATATAAAAAAGCATTGGGGAACTTAATTTCTAATAGGAAATATGCTGGAGAAAAGGGAATCACTTCTAATCACATCATGTAATCTTGTAATTCAATTATATAGTCTCAAGACTACATAGTGTAATAAGTGATTGCAAAATATTGCAATGCCGAATGGAACAGCTTTGGATCATGATTTTGGTTGCGCAATTTTAACGTTTGCTGTTTTTACCTTTTTGGATTTTAATGTATTTTTATCTGTATGTATTTGTGTGGCATCGAATTGTTGACTTCTGTAAGGCCGCTCTGAGTCCCCTTCCGGGTGAGAAGGGCTGGGTATAAATATGGCAAATAAATTAATTAATAAGAGTCTTTGGATCCTGCAAAAGCTGAAATTCAATTACACTATGTAACAAAATTTGAAAAAAATGTTCTGTATCTGGTTTGAGAGTGTTATTTCCTGTTTAAATGTGCAGTCCTTACTTTGAGAGTAGTTGTTATACTCCAAAAACTTCGTTCTTGTGGGGGCCAAAAACTATGTTGAATTAGTTCAGACTCTATGAGATATTCATTGAAAATCTATAGCAAAACGTGCTGCAAATGTCCTGCAAAAACAAAGTTTGATCAACTTTTCCCATGTAGAATCATAGAATCAAAGAGTTGGAAGAGACCTCATGGGCCATCCAGTCCAACCCCCTGCCAAGAAGCAGGAATATTGCATTCAAATCACCCGTGACAGATGGCCATCCAGCCTCTTGTTTAAAAGCTTCCAAAGAAGGAGCCTCCACCATACTCCGGGGCAGAGAGTTCCACTGCTGAACGGCTCTCACAGTCAGGAAGCCGTTCAACAGTGGAACTCTCTGCCCCGGAGTGTGGTGGAGGCTCCTTCTTTGGAAGCTTTTAAACAAGAGGCTGGATGGCCATCTGTCACGGGTGATTTGAATGCAATATTCCTGCTTCTTGGCAGGGGGTTGGACTGGATGGCCCATGAGGTCTCTTCCAACTCTTTGATTCTATGATTCTATGATTCCACATGGGAAAAGTTGATCAAACTTTGTATTTATGATAGAACCAATTAGAAGTGACATAACCCAGGAACAAAAATCATGTTACATAGTGTATTAGTTCCAATTACATTTGATCCATAGAATCAATAGGGAAGTAGGGAATCAATATATAAAGTCCAGCGAATTCATCAGCCTACTTTATTAGTCACAAATAAGCATTGTGCAATCGGCGCATTACATCCAAATTTAACTTTTACAATTTGATTATCTGCAGATTACATTATAATGTTCTCTCTGAGATTCTGTAGGACCTTCAATGTGATTTTATGGCCAACCTGACAAGAGATTAACATAGATCCTGCAGGATTCTTACCCATCCCCTCCCTTCTTCCACAGTCTCGTAGGCTCCTACGGGAACTTAAGGAACAGAAATGCCAGAATCAGGCTGCCACCATCATTTCTGCTTACTGGAAAGGTTATCAGGTAACAAATACACATTGGCAACAAGGTGTAGACCAGAGCCAATGGCCAGGCATACCATTGAGGCCCTCCTCATTTGTTCTCTTCTGGAGAACACTTTTGTAGGAATCTCTAGGTCCTCCAGTGCCGTTCTGTGGTCGACTTGTGTTGGAAGTTGGTCACAGAGCCATGCTGGAGGACCTTCACATTCGTAGAGAAAAGTCTTCTCTAGTAAAAAAAAAAAAGAACATTTTTATTTGCAGTTTTTAACTTTTCCAGGGATTTTGCATCCCTAGTCCCTGCAACTGTGGAGTGCTGACTATATTATGCTAGTATGAGAGTTGCGGTAAGTTATGTCACTCCAGTTGAAATTAATGGAGAATCAGAAACTATTATTCCCTCCATGTCCTTTAGCTATGATGGCAAATCACACTTGCAGATCTTAGTACAATATGAGGGACTGTAGGAGTGCACTTATCCTCCTCTTTTTAATGGGATGCTGGGAAATTCTATCTTTCCCTTTTTTTTTCCACCTGGAATCTGCTGTCTGATTATTCCTGTGTGCACACTCTGGTGAATTCTGGTGGCTCTGCTATAAAAACTACATCCAAAGTCATTATTGCATGTTAATCTTGGAAAATGGAGCCCCCGGTGGCACAATGGGTCAAACCCCTGTGCTGGCAGGACTGCTGACCGTCAGTTTGAATCTGGGGAGAGCAGGTTGAGCTCCCTCTGTCAGCTCCAGCTGAGAGAAGCTTCCCTCAAGGATAGCAAAAAAAACATCAAACATCCAGGCATCTCCTGGACAACATTCTTGCAGACAGCCAATTCTCTCACACCAGTCTGCTGACCAGTTAAGAATTGTTTTAATTTAGCCAATTGTCAGCCTTTTAGCTCTTTTTTTTTTTGTCATGTCAGGAGTGACTCCTGGTGTGAGAGAATTGGCCATCTGCAAGGACGTTGCCCACAGGACGCCTGTATGATTTTTATGTTTTTATCATCCTTGTGGGAGGCTTCTCTCATGTCCCCACATGAGGAGCTGGAGCTGATACAGGGAGCTCATCCGCCTCTCCCCGGATTCGAACCTGTCAGTCTTCAGTCCTACCGGCACAAGGGTTTAACCCACTGCGCCACCGAGCGCTTCCAGCCTTTTAGCTGATTGATAAGATATCTTTCAGTACTGTCATCAGATAGCATTTATTGTGTTATCTATTGCAGATGTGCCTTTTGGGGATACAAATTAAATAGAAGCTAATATAATAAGCAAAAGCTGCCATGTATTATCATTTGGAAATTCCAGCTCCAAAATTCCTTTCCCCCCAAAACAGAAAAATTGCCCCTCCTGATTAAAGTTGCCTCTTCACAGTTAATCAAACCTTGATTTATATGCTATTTAAAAATCTTTATCTCTGGCTAGGAAGGGGAACTCACACTTCTGTGAAAATTGGGAATTTCCCAACTTTGTTTGTTGTGCTCTGCTTTTCTTTTTCTTTTTGGTCTGGGCTTCTGCAGGGTTCTTATCCACCCCCTCCCTTCTTCCACAGTCTCGTAAGCTCCTACGGGAACTTAAGGAACAGAAATGCCAGATTCAGGCTGCCACCACCATTTCTGCTTACTGGAAAGGTTATCAGGTAATAAATACGCATTGGCAACATTGGTGTCTGGTAGGCTAGACCCAATAGCCTGCCACAGTAACTAAAATATCCATTACCATGCCTTGATGCTTGCTTTCATTTCATTTTACTGGGAATAAGCCCATAACATGATTTTATCATCTTTTCTTTTCTCAGACTGTGAAATGTAATTTTTAATACTAACACATTGCCTACACATTATTTTTACTTTAAAATTCTCCAGTCCTCCAAAATGACAAAAATATAATGTTTTTGGAGTAATGTATCAGTGTTACATGTTGCACACAAAATATACTATTCATAGTTGTATTACTTTTAAAGTTGTTACACTGATAGTGTGATCACAGAAAAAACTTACGTTACAGACAGCACATTTCCTTGTAACACATTCCTTCCAATATCACTCCCATGACTACCTTGTTAGAGTTTTGTCTGATAACTAAATAATAATAATAACAATAACAATAAAAACAACAACAACAACAACAATGTATTTGTACCCCACCACTATCTCCCCAAAGGAGATAGTGATGGGGTACAAATACGTTTTGGTTGCAACAAATATGGGAGAGATTATATCAAGAGAGATCCATTCAGGAGGTCTGAAAAGTATGTTTATTTCCAGCTGGGACTCTGGAGTGGAGTTGTGTCCAAAAGCACCAGAGTGCCCGATAAAGGTGTTGACTGCGTCTTTTATACACTTTAAATGCAGGCAAACAAAGAAACATGCTTCTACATACATTGACATCATTCTCTGCATCACTTTAGCATCACAGAAATATCAAATTCTATCTTCCAACATAGAAAATGCATATCTCTGTATTTCTTTCTAAGGAGCAGCATACAGCTTATAGCTTACATTCATCAATCAAGGGGCCTACTTTGACCTGTCATGAGGGAGGGGGATTGGCTCCTTACTTTTTACTTATCTCTGTTGGTGCTAGGATGGGCTTATCGCCCCACTTCCTGGAATGTTCCCCTCCTGCCTGTGCCTTGGACACAGATCTCCTTCAGCATTCTTTCTAATACAGAGAGAACTTGATTTTTCTATACATTTCAATTCTTGTAAAGTACATACAATTCATACATAAATAAATATCTATTTTTCCAATATCTCCCCATCAATAGCACTCAAGGTGCCACACATAAAATAGAATTACATATCATCCAAACAATACACAATTTGACTGAATACAAACAATAGACAACATCAATTGATACAATTTTAAAAATTAACTTTTAAAGCACAGTCATACCTGCGGGTCATTGGGTTTATTCAAACACAAACTAAAGTGCTGAATAACAGTGGTCGACGTCATCACATGACCATAGTACATTACTCCAGTTCAAATAGCTATGTTTATAAGCTCAAATGGCAAGTTTGGAGATTTAGAGCTAATCTAATCTCTCCAGGGAAGGCATTTCAGAGCCAGGGAGCCACCACCAAGAAGGCCCTATCTCTCGTCCCCACCAACCGCACCTGTGATGGCAGATCTCAAGGCCCGCACTCATTCATAGAAGGAAATGCAGTCTTGAAGACTGGTTGGACCTGAAGCATATAGAAGTGTAGTGAGTTGGTTGAGAGCCATAAATTCTGTATCCAAGAGGGGAAAGTTTATAAAGAGAACACATTTTTTAAAAAATAGATAAAGAGGGTAATTCCACTTTCTTACAATCGCATTACTTCGCAAGTAGCATACTATTATTTTGGAATAATTCCAGAATATACTGGAACAATTCATTATTCTATATAGCCAGTGGACAAAATCATCTGGGTGTGTCTTCTGCCTCTTCTTGCATTTTCATTCTGTCTCAGCTCCTAAAACAATTGTGCCCTAAATATCTTTCCAATGTGTGGAGACAAAGGGTGTATGGACATTACGAATGAACTAATATTTTCCCAATATTTATTCATTTATTTGCAGTATTTATATTCCTCCCTTCTCACCTGAGGGAGACTCAGGATGGATCACAATGCACACATACACGGCAAACATTCAATGTCATTTTTAGACATACAAGACAGACAGACAGATAGAGGTATTTTGGCATTTCCCAATTTTGGCGCCAGGAGGTTATGCTCGATTCCAGCCACAAGGGCTGTGGCTTCATCCACTTTGACGCCGAGCCCTTTTGAGCGTAGTATTTCCTCCTTATTCTTTGATTGCTGGCACTTTTATGGTGTTATAAAATACCTCCCCGCTTTAAGTGGTGCCTAATTTTTCTACTCACAGCTCAGCTGTTTTCGAATTGCTTAGGTAGACAGTAAGCTAGGCTTAACTGCTCAATCTAACTTGGGCTTTGGACTTCTGGTTGGCAGTGATCTATTGATGATGATGATTAACCAGCTGTGCTACAGCCCAGCCCTAAATTCATAAATTCAGTTGTCATATGAAGAGTCCAGCACATTCAATGACATGTGTACTAGTTGTTTGAGAATGTTATTTGCACTAAAGACAACTCCATCTTCTGTACTCACAATTCTTATAATGCTAGTGCTGTGACAACTAATATGGTCCTTTAAGAACTGCCCCAAAATGAAAATACATCACCAGAACAGAAGGCAAAACAGATTTGCAAAAAAAGGTGTATGTTAAATTCTCTCTGTGTGTGTGTGTGTGTGTGTTGCATATCTTCAAGTTATTTCTAGCTGATAGTAACATTATCACAGGGTCTTCTAAGCAAGATTTTTTTCAGAGTATGGTTGCAGCTGCATTCCTGTAAGTCAGTGGTTCTCAACCTATGGGTCTCCAGATGTTTTGGTCTTCAACTCCAGAAATCCTAACAGCTGGAAAACTGGCTGGGATTTCTGGGAGTTGTAGGCCCAAAAACCTGGGAACTCACAGGTTGAGAACCACTCCTCAGAGTCCTCCAAGATGTGACTTGTCCAAAGTCACTCACTGGAGTTCAATGGCTGAGTTGAATTCAAGCCCTGGTCTTACATAATCCTGGTCCAATGTTCAATCCACTTCATCACTTTGTCTGACATTTCTAATGCTTACATATATGTGTATAAATGTCCATATATCTCTAAATACATGTTATCTCTGTAAACAAGATGACACTAAGTAAGTAAATGCAAACTTAGATATGCATAGCAAGATAGATAAAAATACCGTACATGGGACCATAGATAGGGTAGTGATTATGTAACTGGGCAGTTCTTCAGGTACTATCTTCTAGACCTCTCCCCATTTGGATTGGTCTTTAAACTAGATATGGACCAGACAGTCCTTGAAAGTAAAGATACCTTCAAATAAAGGTTGGTTTTCTGAGAGTGTCATTCAAATGCAGAGCTGGCCTCTTTAATGTAGGACAGTAGTTCTCAGCCTGTGGGGACCTAGGTGTTTTGACCTACAACTCTCAGAAACCCCAGCCAAAAGTCTGGGGACACAGGTTGAGAATTACTGATGTAGGAGGACATACAATCAAGTTAATGGGGATGCCTTTTAAAATCCCTTTCAATCTGCATAGACTTATCTAAGGAAAAGTCCAAAACTAGATTATTTGATGGCTTCAACTCCTGGCTTTTTTTTAAAAAGGTAATTGACTAGTAGTCAATGGTGACATATGGATTATACAGTTGGGATGGGTTGAGTGCAGTACAGGATGTTTTGCTCTTTGCTTTGTTGTATGTGAAGACCCCCCCCCCCCATTTTGTTTTTGGCATGGGCAATTCTAATTTGGCAAGGAAAATCCAGGGAAAATGCAAATTAATTGTGTTTCATCTCACCTTTCCAACTGATGTTAAAATGTCCCTGTTTTCCCTTTATCCTCAGTTTATACTCATTGCCACAGACTCAAGTGCAAAGTGCAAAAGTAGTATGTGCTCCAGTTAACTCTATCTGATAGGCAGGAACAAAGGGATCTCAGAAGATAAAAAAGTATGGACAGGACTCTGCTTTGAAGAGCAGCACAGCTAATAAATCAGATAATACTTGATAAAATAGGCCAATGGTGTGGCTTAGGAGATCGACAATTTCCTTTATGTGTGTATGTCACTTAAGTTATGACATGCTACTGAACAGAATTTTCATTGTCTCACAGACACGGAAGGAGTATAAGAAATATTTCCGCTCTGGAGCATCTGTGCGCATCACCAATTTTATCTATCGGAGCATGGTAAGTACATTTTTTCTTGGGATAGGAAAACAGAGTGAGAGGGAAGAAAGAAGGTCAAAACCTCAAAATAGTAATGGAAAAATATGAAATCTAATAAAATAGCGATTATCCTAATACTTTTTCAGAAAGGTCTTCCTTCAAGAGGCTGAAAGAATAATAATCATATAATCACATACTTTTTATCACATATTTGCTCTAATATGAATTAGGTAGCCCCCACAGAAGATGCTGAACTCCATCTCCTATTAGTTTTAGCCAGCATAACCCATGGTGTGGAATCATGAAACTTGTAGTCAAGCAAGGGCCATACAATTCCCCTACCTAATATATGTAGTTATTTATATTAGGAAATTTTAAATTCCCTGGAAGGCTATATACAGACAAAAATGATAGAGTGAGATATACAAATTAGTTTGTCAAAATGTCTGGCTTGCTCTAGAGCATTGTTTCCCGACCTGGGGGTCAGGACTCCTGGGGGGAGCCGCAAGGGGGTGTCAGAGGGGTCACAAAAGGCCATGTATTTTCTCCCAACCCACAAATACAAAGTCATTGGGCATGAGGGATCACTCTATATCAGCGTTTCTCAACGTGGGGGTCGCGACTCCTGGGGGGTCACCAGGGGGTGTCAGAGGGGTCGTCAAAGGCCATCAGAAAACATCTACTCTTGACATTATGAAGAAAAGTACGCATTTGGCAAAATGAAAATGGGGTGTGTTTACCATAGCAAGGCCCCTTCTCAGATCGATGAATAATTGCACTTCACGAGTCTGTTTATGTTCTATTCTTTACACTTTCTTAAGTACATTACACACCTTCTTTAAATTACCCAGACTGTTTTCTCAATTAAGCAGGTTTATATATATATATATATATATATATATATATATATATATATATACACACACAACACACACACACACACATATATTGCATCAACTTCAGTAGTTTAAAAGCAGTGCTGAGGCAAACTCACTTTCATCATGGACATGATGAAAGTGACAATATGTGACAATATGGCAATATAGCAGGGGGGTGTTCTCCTACAACAACTCCTCTGCATCATCACATTCCCTTCATTCATCTTCTTCCTGTTGCTCATATTGATTTCCATTCATTTTTCCAAGAGTCATTTTTCCAAGAGTGTGTGGCAGCAGCATGATGACGAGTTGTAGCACCCTATCCAATGGTATTATTTTGGCACACACCTGAAATTTATTAATTTCTTTGCTTAGATCAGGCTTTCTAAACCCTTTTATCCGTGAAGAACTCTTGACATAATTATCAGGTCTCATGAAACTCTTCAAGTTGTAGTTTCTCAAGTCGCTCTTGACACGGAAAAAAATGAGACTCCTGCATAATATAAGTGTTCCAGGGATCTCTGCTTGAGGATCCCTTGCTTAGCCCCTTCAAAGACAACACTCTTCTGTTGGAAACACAATATATTACATAAGGAAAAGCATATAATTCAATTTTTTGTTAATGAAAATAACGTCTTAATTTTACGGTGATTCCCTATAGTGATCGTAATGCACAGCAAGCATGCCAAGGATATATGTTGAGCTAGTTGCTAAATGAAACCAAATCTACATGAGAAGGAAACTTTGAAATGTGAATGTTCTTTGTGGAAGCAATATGCAGAAGTAGCTGACAATGATACAAAAGGAAAGCGGGGAGATGAAGGGAAATAAAATAACTTTTTCTCAAAGGGAGTAGGGAAGGGGTTTGAGCAGGATAGCACATGGGGAGCAGGAATGGTGAAAATGGATGGATGTAAATGTGGGAACAATTCACAGCAAATCAAAAAAAGAGGGAGAAAAAAATTTCAATTAAATTTAAATGAATAGCTAAATTGCAATAAATAAAACAAGCACCTTGGTGTGCTGTGGCTTGAAAATATGCTATTGAACAATATCTCACCACATATAAAAAACAGGCACCTATGTAAATTTTGACCCCATATATGCCTGTATGCAACCACATAAGTATAGATGTGGGAGCATTTGCCACAAGAGGGCACTCATAACAAGCCATGTCTTTTGAGATGAGGAAACCATTATTCAACTGGGTTGTTGTAGGTTTTTCGGGCTGTATGGCCATGTTCTAGAAGCATTCTCTCCTGATGTTTCGCCTGCATCTGTGATAGACAACCTCAGAGGTTGTGAGGTCTGTTGGAAACTAGGAAAATTGGATTTATATATATGTGGAAAGTCTAGGGTGGGAGAAAGAACTCCTGTCTGTTGGATCTAGGCATGAATGTTTCAGTTGGCCAACTTGATTAGTATTTGATGGCATGACAGTTTTTAGGTGTGACTTGTTACTGCCTGGGAGAATCCTTTACTGAGACATATTAGGTGTTCCTGATTGTTTCTTGTCTGGATTTCCCCTGTGTTTCAGTTTTGTTCTTTATTTGCTGTTATAATTTTAGAGTTTTTTAATACTGGTAGTCAAATTTTGTTCATTTTCATGGCTTCTTCCTTTCTGTTGAAATTGTCCACATGCTAGTGGATTTCAATGGCTTCTCTGTGTAGTCTGACATGGTGGTTATGAGAGTGGTCCAGCATTTCTGTGTTCTCAAATAATATGCTGTGTCCAGGTTGGTTCATCAGGTGCTCTGCTATGGCTGACTTCTCTGATGGAATTAGACTGCAGTGCCTTTCATGTTCCTTGATTTGTGTTTGGGCAATGCTGCATTTGGTGGTCCCTATGTAGACTTGTCCACAGCTGCATGGTATACGGTAGACTCCTGCAGAGGTGAGAGGATCCCTCTTGTCTTTTGCTGAACGTCGCATTTGTTGGATTTTCTTAGTGGGTCTGTAGATAGTTTGTAGGTTGTGTTTCCTCATCAGCTTCCCTGTGTGGTCAGTGGTTCCCTTGATGTATGGCAAGAACACTTTTCTTCTTGGTGGATCTTTGTCTTTACTCTCGTGGCTTGTTCTTGGTCTTGCAGCTCTTCTGATGTCTGAGGTGGAGTATCCATTGGCCTGTAGAGCCCAGTTTAGGTGATTCAGTTCATCTTGAAGGAGGTGGGGTTCGCAGATGCTTTTTGCACGATCTGCCAGCGCTTTAATGGTGCTTCTTTTTTGACTTGGGTGATGGTTGGAGTTTTAATGTAGGTATCTATCTGGGTGTGTAGGTTTTCTGTAAATTGCGTGACCCAATTGTTGATATAGTTTGCCGATGACTAAGACATCTAGAAAGGGCAGTTTTCCTTCATTTTCTTTTTCCATGGTGAATTGGATGTTTGGGTGGATGCTGTTAAGGTGGTCCAGGAACCTGTTTAGTTCTTCTTCTCCATGACTCCAAATGGTGAAGGTTTCATCCACATATCTGAACAATATAGTGGGCTTTTTGTTGCTGTTTCCAGGAAGTGTTTTTTAAAGTGTTCCATAGAAATTTGCTATGACTGTTATATACAGATCATTCTCTTTAGATATCCTTATTTTTATTTCTGTCTCCTTTCTAATAGGTGCAAAAATTTCTCCTGGGCCTAAAAAACAACCTTCCTTCCATGAAAGCAACCGATCACACTTGGCCTCCTGCCCCATATAAATTTTTCAGTGATGCCAATCAAGAGCTGAAGAAGATCTTCCACCACTGGAGGGTGAGAGACGGGTGGTCTATGACTCTTCTTTCCTAATTCATCTGGGAGAAAGGCAGGATATAAATTCAATACAATCAGTCAAGAAACTGAACCTCAAAGAGTGGATAATCTGGGGGGTATACAGGTCTTGACTGTATATAAGTCCAGTTATGGTGGACCTGAATATATTAGGCAAATTAAGCATACATTAATATATCTTATGGTTGGCAATAAATGATGGTAGGATTGAGGAGACTGAAATAGCAGTGGAAGGGAAGAGACTTTCTCTTCCTTCCTTCTTCCATCTGCTGAGAACAGTTTGGGGGATCCAGCACAAAAGACAATTCCAAATGTCAAACAGGTCACTCTAACCTACCTTTTGTCAATAAAGCGAGGCAGAGTTTTTTTGTGGTCCTAGCACAAAGCTGGCTCTAGAATGAGATGCCTAACTTTTGTGTTTTGTCCTGTCTTTTCCACATTCTTCCATTCTGGCACAGTGTAAGAAATACCGAGATCAGTTGCCACCCCAGAGAAAAGCAGTCTTACAGGACAAACTGTGTGCCAGTGAACTTTTCCGAGGCAAGAAAAGTTTGTACCAGAAGAGGTAAGTGGAAGGGCTATCCAAACTAGGATGGGAATTTTTACTCCTCGGGAATGGCATGAAATTACCAAATTGGTGTGTTTTTTTACCTTTCAGCCTCTCACAGCCTTTCAAAGGGGAATACCTGGGTTTGAAGGAGAATCCAAAATATCGTAAGCTCCAAAGCTCAGCCGATGGCAAGCTGCTTATGGCTGACAATGTGAAGAAAGTCAACCGAGGTGATGGAAAGGTGAGAAAAGGCCTCACTTTTCCCACCGGATTTCCAAAAGAAGAGATCCAAGATTAGGGTTAGATAAAAGGAACAAAAGAGAAAAAGAGAAAAACTTTTTGCAGTTTACCGCTATGGGAAAAACAAGTGATAACTTTGCAATGGAGGTAAAACTTACCCACTCATAAACCCAACAATCCTGTACAGTGATAAAGGGTTATAAACCTGGTAGCACAGATGGGCATCTGGTGAGTTTTTGGTTGCATGCTCAATGATTTTCTAATGATTTTTTAAAAAAACAGTACCCTGATTTTATATTTGGATGGCTTTTTTGAATTTTAAAAAACCTTTCAGATATCTGAACCCAAGTTATATAGAACCTTGAAGGTCAAAAACATCACTTTGTGCTTTGAATGTAATTTTCCTGCTTCTTGGCAGGGGGTTGGACTGGATGGCCCACGAGGTCTCTTCCAACTCCAAGATTCTATATGTCCAGAAACATATCAGCAGCTATTGAATTTGTTTCACGTGATGGGTATATTACTTAATGCCTTTAGCCACCAGCCATAGCTGATAAAATGTTTCTTTTCTCTTTCCATTCCAGGCTTCTACTCGGATATTTATTCTTACCAAAAGTCATATTATCCTAGCTGATCCCAAGGCTGCGCAGCCCAAAACAGTGATCACTCTGAGTGACATAGACAGTGTCTCTGTCACACGCTTCTCAGATGGGTTTTTTGTTCTGCACATCAGAGAGGTAACACAATGGAGGGGGGCAGGGAGAGAAAGCTAGGCAGGGAAGTGGGACATGCCAGAGAAATTCCTGGCGCTAGTTCATGCTTCTGTAATCCTCTTTGAAATCACTGTGGCATAATGGAAGGTGGAATCAAAGGGGAAATGTGACATGTCTATTTTTAGCATGCCACTTTATTGGGACCAATCAGAAATAAACTTCACACAGGTTGGGAATTTGCCGTGTTTATTTAATTTTTAAATTTCTGCCTCTCATTGGTGCTTTTGGTAGCAGTGAAAGAAAAACACATTTTACAATTAGAGAATAAATTTCCTAGTTATTTATTTATCATCTGAGAAGCAAGTTGAAGGTACAGTGAAAATGCATTTTAAAAGGGTTTTTAAAAAAAGGACTTGGCATTATGCTAAATGTCCTTTGACTAGAAGCTGGCCATTTGGAGTGCCTCTGGTGTCTCTGTGAGAAGGCCCTCCATTGTGCATGTGGCAGGGCTCAGGTTGCATTGTAGTAGATGGTCTGTGGTTTGTTCATGTCGTAGACTCCACTTAGTAGTCCCATTTCTTAAGGTTGATTCTGCATCTCATGGTGCCAGAGCACAGCCTGTTCAGCACCTTCAAAGTCATCCACTCTTTTGTGTGCCAAGGAAGGAGTTTCTCATCTGGTCTCAGCCACTAACTGAGGCACTGCGTTTTAGCCTGCCACTTTTGGACTCTCACTTGCTGAGGTGTTCCTGACAGTATCTCTGTAGATCTTAGGAAGCTGTTTCTTGATTTCCTGGTGTATGTACACGAGGACATTTACATGGTGATTACAGCTTCAGCAAATCTTCCAGGAATTCTGATCATGATGGAAATACCACCTAAAAGCCATTTTGCCATGGCAGCCACAATCTGGTAGTGTCCAAATACAAGGCTCAAAATGAGTCTTTCAACTGTATTAAACCACTCCTTGGCTTCATTGCTATGTCATCACATCTCGCTAGACATAGCTGAACTTATTTCTGAGAAAAATTGCATGGGTTAGTTCATCAAATTATCTAAGTCACCTAAGTGATTGATCAATGAATTGAATAGAATCCTTTGACTTATTCATCTCCACATATATTATTCTCGTGGACAAGGCTTGTTTTTGGTCTTGTAAGTGAGAAATGGCAGGACAGAAGCAGTCAGCAAAGGATGAGTTGAGCCCTGTCCTTTCACCCATCACTTGGAATCATCCTATCTCATAGCATTACTCTGGCCCGGCCCAGTTTTATTGTGTTTTGGTGTATTGTTTATTGCTTGTTGTTTTGTTGTTTTAATACTGCTTTAATTGTTTTAATTTGCTTTAGGTGTATTGTTATGTTGTGTATTGAGGCCTTGGCCTTTGTAAGCCACATCGAGTCCTTCGGGAGATGCTAGCGGGGTACAAATAAAGTTTAATAATAATAATAATAATAATTACAGCAAATTGGCATTAGAAGACATGGGCTTGCCATCATCATGGCTGGGCTTCTCTCCCTCAACTTGGTCATGCTAGACTTGGTAGTAGTTTGCTGCCTAAGGAAAAGGAACATATGCTGTCCTCCATTCTAGCTTCACAAAAGGGTTAGGTTGGTGACATATTATTATGCTTGCATGTGTATGCATCCATAGTTTAGAAGAGACATCTAGAACTAGTTTCTGCAAGATCCCAACCTAATTTGCAACAAGAGTAGGAGGCTGCAGGACACAGCTCTACTTCCCCAGCTTCAAATTGGCTATTGGGGTGCCTTTTCTGGCTGTTCTTAAGCACTGAGCAAGGAAGAAAAAACCTTACATTGGGGCCAGAGAGTGCTCTCTCTTCTCTTAGGAGCTCACAAGCAGCTGCTAAAAGAAGCCCAGGTATAATGTATTGTTGAAGGTATTGTCGAAGGAAACATTCACACCTAGCTCCAGCAGACAAGAGCCCTTTGTCTCACCCTGGTCATTCCACAGATATATAAACCCTTTTTCCTAGTTCCAACAGACCTCACTACCTCTGAGGATGCTTGGCATAGATGCAGGCAAAACGTCAGGAGAGAATGCCTCTAGACCATGGCCATATAGCCCGAAAAACCCTACAACAACCCAGTACTCTTGAAGGCTTTCATGGCTGGAATCTCTGGATTGTTGTAGGTTTTTCAGGCTGTATGGCCATGTTCTAGAAGCATTCTCTTCTGACGTTTCACCCGCATCTATGGCAGGAATCCTCAGAGGTTATGAGTGTTGGAAACTAGGAAAATTGGGCTTATATATCTGGAAAGTCCAGAGTCAGAGAAAGAACTCTTGTCTGTCGGAACTAGGTGTGAATGTGAGGGAGGAAGGGGACACCCCCCCCCCCCAACCAGCCAGATCAGCCGGATCAACCCTGGCAATCAGTGGGGTGACAGATGTCACAGCCAGATTGCCCTCCTATGGGTAAATGTTTCAATTGGCTACCTTGATTAGCATTTGATGGCCTGACAGTTTGTAGGTGTGGCATTTTACTGCCTGGGGGAATCCTTTGTTGAGAGGTGTTCCGGATTGTTTCTTGTCTGGAGTTCCCCTGTTATGATCTGATCCGCAGCAAGAGCCCAGATATACTCTTGCTGCTGATCAGAAACCAGGAAAATCTAGCTTTGCCAGGCTGTCCTTGCCCCTGACTGTTGTGCAGCAGGAAGCAGTTGGGAAGAGGGAGAAGTACACTGATGGAGACTGAAGCTAGCATGATGGGAGATCTTAGGAATCGCAACTATAAAAGTATGGTATTGTCTAGCTAGCTCCTAAAGTGGCCAGTAGTTAGCTGTGCCAACAAAAGGAAGCTTCAGATCCCCCAAAGTCCTGATAATGCCTCAATCTGGTTTTATTTTTCCAGTCTTCCACAGCAGGCACCAAAGGGGACTTCCTGCTTATCAGTGACCACCTGATTGAACTGATCACTCGACTACACCAGGCCGTGTTGGACACTACAAAGCAAAAACTGAAACTTCAAGTGGCTGATGAGTAAGCACAGAGTTAATAATCCCACAAGAGAGATTTCAGTAAATAAGGAGCCCTTGTTTTTCTCTGATTTAATCCCCACCGTGACATTTTATCTGAAGGACTTTTGAGGATGCAGTATCCACATAGGCACAAATCCACCAGTGGGTCTTAGTGAGTTCAGAGCGAACAAACAGTAGAACCATTCCTGCTGTTAAGTAGTTGGATGAACTGCAGAAGCTCTACTAGGCTTTCCAACTCCGGACTATTTCTACAATAGTATCAACAAACTGCCTCCCCACAAATATACATGTTGGAGCAATGCTAAATCTCTCTCCAAAGTGGAGAGAGTGGGCTGGAGTCCCTGGTGACGCAGTGGGTTAAACCCTTTTGCCGGCAGGACTGAAGACTGATAGGTTGGAGGTTTGAACCTGGGGAGAGCGTGGACGAGCTCGCTCTGTCAGCTCCAGCTCCCCCTGTCACTCCAGCTTCCCATGCGGGGACATGAGAGAAGCCTCTCACAAGGATGGTAAAACATCAAACATCTGGGTATCCCTTGGGCAACGTCCTTGCAGACGGCCAATTCTCTCACACCAGAAGCAACTTGCAATTTCTTAGAAACCACCAGGGGCTCCTAAACCACATCACATCGCCAAAAAAAAAATCAGTGGGGAGGGTCATTTTTGCCTGATATTATTGAATGGGAATCAAGGCAATTCTCCTCTCCGCTTCAGTAATCTGCAATGGATTTCTGTATTTGCCTGCATGGAGAAGTGGATGTGCCTCTGTGCTCTCCATTAAGCTCTCTTATTCAAAACAATTTCCTGCACTCCAGGTTTTTTTTTTTAATGCATGTGTGTATCAACATTAGGGAGAAATGTAGAACCTACATATCTGAATTTGGTCCATCCCTGATATAGTGAGATGTGGGTCAGTTATATGATAGCTGTCTTTCATTGAAAATAATGCAGAATTTGACACCCTCTCTTTTCTCACTTAAAATGTGATTTAGGAGTCCTTGGTGGCACAATGGGTTAAATCCTTGTGCTGGCAGGACTGCTGACTGACAGGTTGGTGGTTTGAATCCGGGGAGCAGGGTGAGCTTCTGTCAGCTCTAGCTCCCTATGCGGGACATGAGAGAAACCTTCCACAGGATGGTAAAATATCATTCAGGCATCCCCTGGGCAACGTCCTTGCAGATGGCCAATTCTCTCACACCAGAAGTGACTTGCAGTTTCTCAAGTCACTCCTGACACCCCCCCCCAAAAAAACCCCTAATATGATGGATTAGTTGAAACAATTAGAACAAGCATCAACATCTTACCATCTTCACAAATTATTATAGCCTATATAACATGCTGGAGCCCCAAGTGGCACAGTGGGTTAAAGTGCTGAGCTGCTGAGCTTGTTGACTGAAAGATCGCAGGTTTGTTTCCAGGGAGCGGTGTGAGCTTCTGCTGTCAGCCCTAGCTTCTGCCAACCTACCAGTTCGAAAACATGCAAATGCAAGTAGATCAGTAGGTACCACTCCGGTGGGAAGGTAACGGCACTCCATGCAGTCATGCCGGCCACATGACCTTGGAGGTGTGGACAACACCGGTTCTTCGGCTTAGAAATGGAGATGAGCACCACACCCCTGAGTGGACTTAATATCAGGGGACAACCTTTACCTTTAAATAACATGCTTGATGTAGAAAAAAGGCAGTTCTCTGGGTTGCAACAAGATGAAATCTGGTTTCACTATGAAGACCACTCTTTGTCCCTGTAAAAAACTAGTGTATTTAACTCCAAATCTAAAACTGTCAACTCCAAGCACTTATAGGCATTTGGCAAATCTTGTATGGAAATGACCAGATCATGGAAAAGTTATTGCAGCATTCTGAGAGTTCTCAGTTCTTTTGTAACCCTTGTATCTGTTTGGTTTGAAGCGGGACTGAGACTCTGCTAAATAAGTTTGAGCACTGCAGCACCTTCTCTAGATTAGTGCTTTGTAAACCTTTCCCATCGCAAGCCCTTTCAGCCCAATGTTTTTTAAAGTGACTGGGAATATAGATAAATGAAATAGGTATAAAATCAAACATTTGCTGATTTCAAAAACCAGTATTTTCAAGGCTTGCGAAATTTCCCTTTTTATAAAGTACTAGCTGTACCCTGCCACGCGTTGCTGTGGCCTATAGTAAAACTTATCAAAGTTGAGGTAGATATCTGGACTATTATGAAAGAGAGGTACCTACCTATTCCTTCCCCCTTTTCCTCCCCTTTCTCTCCTTTCTTCCTTCTCTACCTCTTTCTTTCTTTCCTTCTTTCACTACTTGGTTTCATCCTTCTCTCTTTCCTTCATTCCCTCCCCCTTTCTTCCTTTGCCTTTCTTCCCTCCCTGTTTGCTTCCTTCTTTCTCTTTTTATTTCCTTTTATTTGACCACCATCATAACAATAACAATAATGCAATGCATTGCCTCTGGGACCTGACACCTCTCCCATTCCCCCAGGGTCTCATAGGAATAATAGCATAATAATAATAGAAATAACAACCTTTACCCGCCACGTGTTGCTGTGGCCAACCTTCCCTCTTTCTCTCCTTCTTTCTCTCCTTCCTTCCTTCCTTCCCTCCCATCTTTCCTTCTCCTCTTCCTTCTCTATCTCTTTCCTTCCTTCCCTCTTTTTCTTTCTCTTCTGGTCTCTTTTCTTCCTTCTCTCTTTCCTTCTTTCCTTCCCTCCCTCTTTCTCTACATCTTCCCCCTTCCTTCCCTTCTTTTCTTTCCTTTTCTTCTTCCTTCTTTCTCTAACTTTCCTTCCTTCCCCCTTTTTCTTTACCTCCCTTTCTCTTTCTTCCTTCTTTCCTTCCTTCCTGTCTTTCCTGGATTTTGACAGGGTGGGAAGGGGCGGGGGGGGGTTTGGAGGTGGCGTGAAGTAAAAGGAGGTAAGATTGGGGCAGGGGAGTGATGGAGCGTGGGGTTGTGTGTGTGTGTGCGGCAGCGGGGGGAGTGATGGAGCGTGGGGTTGCGTGTGTGTGTGCGGCGGCGGGGGAGTGATGGAGCGTGGGGTTGCGTGTGTGTGTGCGGCGGCGGGGGGAGTGGGGTTGCATGTGTGTGCGGCGGGGGGGAGTGATGGAGCGTGGGGTTGCGTGTGTGTGTGCGGCGGCGGGGGAGTGATGGAGCGTGGGGTTGCGTGTGTGTGTGCGGCGGCGGGGGGAGTGATGGAGCGTGGGGTTGTGTGTGTGCGTGCGGCAGGGGGGGGTGTGTGCGGGAAGCGGCGCAGCGGGGCTTGGAGTGGGCATGGCTTCCGCAGAGGGAACGTTGGCTGGAAGGCTGTGTGCGCGCGCCAGGGAACTTGCGGCTGGGCGCCAATGCGCATGCTCAGTTGTTTTGCCGTTTTGTGAGTGTGTTGTTGTGTTGTTTTTCATTTTGAGTAGATATGTTTGTACCTTGTGGGTTGTGTTATGGGCATGGGAATTTTGGTTAAGTTTCGTTGGGGTTTCTTGAGTTTTGTTGTTTTGCCGTTTTGTGAGTGTGTTGTTGTGTTGTTTTTCATTTTGAGTAGATATGTTTGTACCTTGTGGGTTGTGTTATGGGCATGGGAATTTTGGTTAAGTTTCGTTGGGGTTTTTTTGAGTTTTGTTGTTTTGCCGTTTTGTGAGTGTGTTGTTGTGTTGTTTTTCATTTTGAGTAGATATGTTTGTACCTTGTGGGTTGTGTTATGGGCATGGGAATTTTGGTTAAGTTTCGTTGGGGTTTTTTGAGTTTTGTTGTTTTGCCGTTTTGTGAGTGTGTTGTTGTGTTGTTTTTCATTTTGAGTAGATATGTTTGTACCTTGTGGGTTGTGTTATGGGCATGGGAATTTTGGTTAAGTTTCGTTGGAGTTTTTGAGTTTTGTTGTTTTGCCGTTTTGTGAGTGTGTTATTGTGTTGTTTTTCATTTTGAGTAGATATGTTTGTACCTTGTGGGTTGTGTTATGGGCATGGGAATTTTGGTTAAGTTTCGTTGGGGTTTTTTTGAATTTTGTTGTTTTGCCATTTTGTGAGTGTGTTGTTGTGTTGTTTTTCATTTTGAGTAGATATGTTTGTACCTTGTGGGTTGTGTTATGGGCATGGGAATTTTGGTTAAGTTTCGTTGGGGGGTTGTGGAGTTTTGCTGTCCCGTTGAACCAACCTAACAGATTTATATATATAGACAGCTGAAGCATCATCTGTAGAGTGCACTGTTAATACTGCACAACAGATTTCTGTAAATGTCTAAAACAGCCATCATTGAGTTAGGGCCATCTCATTTGGGGTTGGAACCCTAAGTTCAAGAAGCAGTCCTCTAGATAAGTTGGTACTAGAATGTTTCTTCTTTTAGCCTGATAGTTGTTTTGTCTTTTCCAGGTTTGTGGTGAAGTTCAAACAAAGCAGCATTGCTGTCAAGGTGGTGGAGACAGCCGTAAAGCAAGGCACAGGGCCAGTCTGCAGGAAGAAAGGCAGCCATAGACTGGAGGTGTTGGTTCAATGATGTGAAGCAGCCCACAAGCAGCTGTTCTGGGTTTCTGGAGAACATGGAGCTGGGAACCTGTGATTTATATGTGAATCATAGCCAACTTCAATCCCTCTTGGTTTTAGAAGTTTTACTTCAGATGCAGCTATCAGAAATACTCTCAGAAACCAGTTGATGACACATGCCAGTTTATTGCCGAAGGCTTTCATACCTGGAGTTGTGAGTTTTTTGGGTTCTATGGCCATGTTCCAGAAGCATTCTCTCCTGACGTTTCGCCCACATCTATGGCAGGCATCCTCAGAGGTTGTGTGTTATGTTGGAAACTAAGCAAGTGGGGTTTATATATCTGTGGAATGTCCAGGGTGGGAGAAAGAACTCTTTTCTGTTTGAGGCAAATGTGAATATTGTAATTGGCCACCTTGATTGGCATTGAATGACTTTGCAGCTTCAAAGCCTAGCTGGTTGCTGCCTGGGGGAATCCTTTGTTGGGAGTTAGTTCTCTCACCCTGGACATTCCACAGATATATAAATCTCATTGCCTAGCTTCCAACAGACCTCACAACCTCTGAGGATGCCTGCCATAGATGCAGACAAAATGTCAGGAGAGAATGCTTCTGGAACATGGCCATACAGCCAGAAAAACTCACAAGAACCCAGATGCCAGTTTCTCCACTGAAGACAGAAATGACAACTTGGGCCTCATACTTTCAGAAATGGCATGTCCTGTGTAGAAGCCTTAATTTGAGCATACGTGGGAGAAAAACATCATAAAGTCCCCAAGGGAAATGAGACATCTTGTCTCCTTCATTAAACGCCAAAATGAATGTTAGGCATCCGCGATCTTTAGGAATGTTGAATAATCACAAGCTGGTTTCCTGGGTTACTTCTCCTAAAGATAACACGAAAGCACAAATCACAGGTGTGTGCTCTATTACGGTTGTTTGCAATTATTCTCCAAGAGCACTTTGGCCTGTGTTTGTTTTGAGATACAGAAAATAATTGCAAAAATGCATTAAATTTTATTTTGAATCTTGCATAATGAGAAAATTGCTCTATTGAGAGTTTTGCCATGGTCGAAAAATACTGTATGATTTCCCGACTTGTGAGAAGTTCATTGAACTTCACTATTCATTAAAATAAAGTCATTAATTAAATGATTCATTAAAAAAATAAAAGAAACAGTTGCCTTAAGGGTTGCATCAGAACAATTAGAAAAGGGATTGGAGCTATGATGGTAAAAACTTTAAACGGCTAATAAAACACCAACGGTACATTCATGCTATAATTTTGAAAGGCCAACATTAAACCTGGTGGATTTACAAACTCCTTTGGTGAGCAATAGATATAGAAACTTGGTTAATTCCCAGTGTATCTCTGTTTGCCCCAGAGAATAAGACATATAAGGAGCATTGTCACAATTCAAATTTGAAAGCAGAGATGGGAGGTAAGTTTGTAAAATGGCCCATGTAATTTGTATTCTTCTTCAATCATGTTTGATCAGTACCGGCAGCCTCTGACATACAAACATTTGACTTACAAACAACCCATAGTTAAGAATGGGGTGAGACAACAGGAAGTGAGAAAAATCTACCTCTTGGAAGGGAAATGAACTCCTGGAAGAGTTATCATGGGGAAAAAGGGTCTCCACTGAAGCTTTATCATCAATCCTTGTGAGGAGCAGTGGGTTAAACCCCTGTGCTAGCAGGACTGAAGACCGACAGGTCGCAGGTTCGAATCCGGAGAGAGGCAGATGAGCTCCCTCTATCAGCTCCAGCTCCTCATGCGGGGACATGAGAGAAGCCTTCCACAAGGATGATAAAAACATCAAATCATCCAGGCGTCCCCTAGGTAACATTCTTGCAGACGGCCAGTTCTCTCACACCAGAAGCGACTTGCAGTTTCTCAAGTCGCTCCTGACACAACAAAAAAAAATCAATCCTTGTTTCCACAATAAGCCACATTTTTCAAAATCTAATGATTTTTTATTGTGTCAGAAGTAAATTGAGAATATACTGCAAGTCACTTCTAGTGTGAGAGAATTGCTTGTTGCAAGGATGTTGCCCAGGGGATGCCCGGATGTGTTACCATCCTGTGGGAAGTTTTTCTCATGTCCCCGCATGAGAAGCTGGGGCTGACAGGGGAGTTCACCCCATGTCGCAGATTCGAACCAATGACCTTCAGGTCAGCAGTTCAGCCGGCACAAGGATTTAACCCACTGCGCCATCCATCTAATGATCAGAAGGACAGTAAGTGAGGTGAATTCTTTTGAACAGGGGCACAGGTAGCAAAACACACGGATGTTAACCCTTTCTTATGCTATCCAAAACTAACTATCTATATCTGGAGTTACTGTTAAAATGTACCTATTCCAACTTACATACAAATTCAACTTATGAACAAGCCTTCAGAATCTATCCTTGCATCCCGAATAGACTACTGCAACGCACTCTACGTGGGGCTGCCTTTGAAGACTGCCTGGAAGCTTCAACTAGTCCAAAGGTCGGCAGCCAGGTTGCTCACCGGAGTGACGTACAGGGAACATACAACTCCTTTGTTACGCCAACTCCACTGGCTACCGATCAGCTTCCGAGCACAATTCAAAGTGCTGGTTTTAACTTTTAAAGTCCTAAACGGTTCTGGCCCACACTACCTGTTCGAATGTATCTTCTGCCACGAACCATCACAAAGTTTAAGATTTTCAGGAGAGGCCCTGCTCTCGATCCCACCACTATCGCAAACATGATTGATGGGGATGAGAGACAGGGCCTTCTCAGCAGTGCCCCCCTGCCTATGGAACGCCCTCCCTAGAGATATCAGATTGGCCACCTCCCTCTTGTCTTTTAGAAGGAAAATCAAGACCTGGTTGTGGGACCAAGCGTTTGATCAGTGAGCAGCAAGTGGAAGAAGATCACACAACTTATGGCAATGAATTGACCCGGACTGGTTTTTGGATTTCGATTTTAATGGATGTGTCTTAATTGTTTTAATTGTTGTCTTAATTTTTAATATTTTGATTGTACTGTGGTTGTTTTTATGATACTAGCATCGTAAGATGTTTTTGTTAGGCTGCCTCGAGTCCCCCTTCGGGGGGAGAAGGGCGGGGTATAAATATAGGAAATAAATAAATAAATATCCTGCTTGTAACTTGGGGACTACCTGTACTATGTATGGAGGGTTGCACCTGGGTGTGCTCTTTCAGCACAATGAAAATACTGGTGATGCAACAGTAAGTCAATACTGAAAACAGCTCAAGAAGGACTCTGCTGGAAGGTTCATTTTAGGACAGGGATAGTAGACTAGATTTGGATGAGAGCTAGATGCTGAATATGGCTCAGCCTCTGATGTCAATGGGTCCAAGAAAAGTACTGCATAAGGAGCAATGCATGCATGCTGGAATTAACCTCCCCCCCCACCCCCACCCCAAAATATCCAAAAATTGCTTGTCTCTCAGCATGTTCTCCCTTTCCATGAGATAGATCCTGAGGCCACCAAAGAAGGTGGAGGAAGAACCAATTCTTTCACCTATAGAGCCGGTCTGATATAATAGTTTGAATATTAAAATGAGATCAAGGAACAAATCACTCTGTCATGGAAATCCACTTGGATGGCTTTGGGGCAAGTGACACTCTCTCAGCTCCAGAGGAAGGCAATGGCAAACACTTTGAAGAACCCTTGCCAAGAAAACCCCACGACAGGTTCAATTTAGGGTCAGTCTAAATTGGAAATCATTTGAAAGTACACAAAAATATTGTTTTAACTTTATTTGTAATTTCGGTGCCTAATCTGAAAAGAGCAATATAAAGTTTTTCATTGTATTGTCAAAGGCTTTCACGGCGGAATCACTGGGTTGTTGTAGGTTTTTTCGGGCTATATGGCCATGTTCTAGAGGCATTTCTCCTGACGTTTCGCCTGCATCTATGGCATCCTCTGAGGATGCTTGCCATAGATGCAGGCGAAACGTCAGGAGAAATGCCTCTAGAACATGGCCATATAGCCCGAAAAAACCTACAACAACCCAAGTTCTTCATTGCTCGATTGGATTTTTAACCCTCCTGAATAATTTCCACTCGAATCGTACAAACCCCTCTATTTTAGTTCTCACCACTGCAAAGAGGCACCTTTTCCCCATTAATATCTATTTAATATTATTGATCTATGAAAATGACCCCACCTCTTATTTAGTGCACTTATATATAAAAATCTTATCAAGCTGACTTACGAAAATAAGGGCAATACATTTATTTATTATTTATAACAATTTTTTTTAAAAAAAGCATATTTTATAGGCATATGAATTGCTCCGCTCAAAATATATACTTTGTAAAAATAATGTACAGTATCTATTTTTTGCTTAATTAACTATTGCCACCTAGGCTTAGTGGCCAAAAGTTAAAACTTGTCATTTCAAACCACCTCTAGCCCAGGACATTTCGACCTTGTTCCAGCTAAAATACATACTTCTTGTGAGGGGTATCTTAGTCCTCATTTGCACTGTCATATAATGCTGTTTGAAACTGTGTTATGTGATCAGCCCTTACTCATATAATGCAATATGATGCAATTAAACTGCATTATATGAGTCAACGCTGTCCATATAATGCAGTTTCAAATGGAATTATATGGTGGTGTAGATGGGCCCTCAGTCAAAGGGTATTTCTTAGCACATACAAACTCCTGCACAAAGAAAGGTGGGGGGAAATATACATTTTTAAAAGGCACGGATAGGTCTGGTTTTGAAACACCTGCAGCATCTCTAGTACAAAATCAACAGGATACAATCTGTAAACCGTAAAAATAACACAGTATGGAAAATAATAATAGTAATGGCAAACATTCAATGCCCAAAAGCAAACAACCTGCCTGATGGTGATTATGATAATGATGATGATTATTATTACTCTCATTTATCTTTCCCGAAGGAGACTCAAACTGGCTTAACATAAAAGCACTTGCATACAATTTAAAATATACAAATACACATGACTGTACTCTGTGAAACCATACCGAGCCCTCAGTTCAAATGCATTATCTTTCTTCACACTTAGAGAAGTAACCACACCAACTAATATGAAACTGGCACCAATGGTATTTCAGGCAGGTTGGGACACAGACAGGCACATACAAGCGCAAATGAAGTGAAGAAGAGCCATGTAAAAACACAGCAAGACCCTCTTTTGTTCCTTTCAGTTAATGTTTAGAGGAAGAATTCCTGTTGGACAGGGACCTGGGATAAAAAGCTGATGGAAGTGCAAGGATCTGGACCATCACCCTGACCCTAAGAACCACTAATAATGTAGGAAAAACCTTCCTTGTTGTACAATTACACAAAAACATCTAATAGAGAGCATGACTCTTAGGGTGAAAACTGGCAGTTCTGTCTAAACCAGTGGTTCCCAACCTGTGGGCCGTGAGACCTAAAATAAGGCCTGTGGCTCTAGATGATTAAATATGGTTTTCTGGGGGTGAGCAGATGACGACTACTGGGTGGCATATGTTCTGTATCAGAAACTAAAGCTGATGTGGTCTATTCAATGCAATTTTCCAAATCAGCACCTCAAATAACCAAACTGGAACCTTTTTGGCACTATGTTGGAGAGTGGTCCCTGGTCAAAGTGGTCCCTGGTCAAAGTGATCCCTGGTCAAAAAAGGATTGGGAACAACTGGTCTAAACCATCTCTTGGTTCAGTCAGCTAATAAGAAATTGACATGCTAAACTTGAGAATTTAGAAATAGTATTAAGCCAGATTGATCAGTGGTCGAACTTGTCATAAGGTGGCTTGGTGTGTACTTGTCCTAAGGCTAGTTGGGACACAATACCCGGAAAGACACAGTCTTTTCATTTAATGAAAACGAAGGTCCCGTAACTGAGGACATTCTGGGTGGGAAAACACATTATTGGTCCAAGACTCCTTTCAGTGAACTGAAGCAGGAAGGGAAGTATAACTTGGTTTGGAATGTAATTGGGAAGAAGCCCTCACGTAGCAAGAGAAACAAGGCTTCTTTCAAAGTCCATATTCATTAAAGAAGAAAAATCTGTGCTGATTCTAATCCACAGCCTCACTTAAAACTCAACTCGTTTTATCCAGTGATATCCCTGCCTAACTGACCTGTGCTGGTTTGGGATAAGACCAACCAAACACCAGATCATTTACCAATGCTGGCATATAGCTCATAGGAATATAAAAGAGCTTGGCATCCCAGCCGACCGAGTAGCGCTTGCGAGGGTAGACAGCGGTCAGGGCATGCTCCATGCAGTTGGTAACCTGAGAGAGGTCAGGACTGCAGTGGGCTTGCATCTCAGCCGTTCCTTTCTTCACTGTAAGGGAAGAGGGAGAAAACAGAGAAAACGTGGTCAGTTTGTGCAAAGTGTGACTTATTCCCACAATTATTTCCAAACACGTTACAGTGTTGTGGACTCCCAGCTCGTGTGTTGGCCTCCTAGATCATAGTATCCCAGAGTTGGAAGAGACACCAAGGGCCAGTCAGTCCAATCCCCTTCTGCCATGGGGGATGACACAATCAAATCCCTCCCAACAGATGGCCAGCCAGCCTCTGCTTTAAAACTCCAGAAGAGAGCCCATTACAGTGTAATCCTGATACAGAACACAGGAATGTGAGGCCATTCAGATGCTATTGTGCTGCAATTTGCATCAGATTTAGTCACTATGATATCTGGTGAAGGATGATGGGAGACTGCAGTCGAGCATATGGAAGCTTCCCCCCCCCCCCCCATTAAATATTTGGTTCCAGATTCTTTTATCACTGCGGGAACATTGAAGATGATGTTCGCAGGCCCTTTGAAGAAGTAGCATCACTCCATGGAGATTCCTGGTGGAAGTTTTATTCAGATGGAACAGAGATGAGGAACAAATGGCCCTCCACATGTTGGACATGACAATTCCTATCAACCCTAACTAGTAAATCAATAATGCAAGATGCAGAAATATACAGTCCAGAAAACTTTTTGGAGGGACAGTCAGTCCTCACCCTTGTCTTGAAATAAAGTCATAACAATTCAAAATGCTTTGAACACTTTGTTGTGCTCCTTTTAGCCTCCTCACTTTCTTTAAAAATAGCTTGTGCAGACAGCAGATTTGAAAATAAGGGCATGTATTCTGAGCCAATATGGTTGCTCGTCCATGCATACTGGCAATGCTATTGTTTTGATATTTCTAGCATTAACTCTTTTTCATGTTTATTTGCTCCTACTTCTTCGATATTATTGTGTACCATCTCCCTCCTCCACCACTTTTATTAGGGGTACATGACCGCCACTCCCCGCCCCCCTCGAAAATCAGAAAGCCATGAATAAAAACTGCTACTTTTAAAACTTAAGATAACACTTCTTTAGGAATTACTAGGTCCTTCAGCATTACTCCACCAAACGTTGACCACAGTATCATGCAGGAGGACCTACAAATGCTTGGAAGATGTTGACTTCAGAGCCATAGTGGAGTACCTAGAGATTCTAGAGCAGTGGTTCTCAACCTGTGGGTCTCCAGATATTTTGGCCTTCAACTCCCAGAATTTCTAACAGCTGGTTAACTGGCTGGGATTTCTGTGAGTTGTAGGCCAAAACACCCGGGGACACACAGGTTGAGATCCACTGTTCTAGAGAGAATATATTAGCCAAAGTCATGAATAATCAAATTCACAAAAGTTAAATATCTAAATGTGGGGGGCCAACTGTACTTGGTTGTTGCTGCTACTTTGGTGCTTTTAGTAGATGTAACATCACCGCTTTGAGTCCCAATGTAGGAGAAAAGTGGGATAGAAATAAATAAATAATAACATCTTTTGTAAAACTCAACAAGCAATATAATAAGTCAGGGATGAGAAACAGGCCACTCTTCCCTGTTTCTCTCTTAAGTTCATTTTTCCAGCTCTTATGCTTGGAAAGAGAAGCGTGAACTTTTCTGGGCAATTCCTGATAAAGTGTCGTAAGTATATGTGTGGGACACACAACCTCTTTGTGGTTTATATCAAAATACCGCCTGTGTGTTGCACAAGGAGGAGCCCAATATCAATTTGTTTAGAAGCATTCAGAGAACCATCAGACCGCACTGGGGCACATCCCAATCAGTCATCCAGTGGATAGAGGGTGAGAGAAACTACACCCTGTTGCTGCCGAGCTAGAGTTGCACATACATGGAAAATGAGGCAGGTTTCACGTGCCTAGACTTGCCAGATGCTCAGGAGAGAACATACTGCTCTCTCCGCACCATCTGATTGCTGCTACACAGTCAGAGAAGAAAAACAGAAATTGCTCCCTGCACCTCCAGCTATTGCACAGCCATTAAAATCAAGGTGGAGCTCCATCAGCATCAAACAAGATTTTGGTTTCACAGAGGCTGGATCTAGAGAGCTATAATCAGTGTAGACAATGCAATTCCTAACTACACTGAACTGCATTATATGTGTCTACACTGACCATACAATGCAGTTCCAGATTGCATCATATGCAAGTGTAGAACCAGCCTAAGACATTAGAAAAGAGACAGACTTTTAATCCTACACAATGCAATATTTCAATCCGTTTTGATTCTTCGTTGCAAAATTGTATTTCACTTTTTAATTTTTAATTTTAATTTATTTATCTTCTGCCTTTTCCCCAACCTGCAAGCTTGTTTGGGAATAAGTCCCATGCTATCCAAATAAGCCTGCATAAGTTTGGGCACACATCCTATTGGACACAGTAGAACTTACTTCCAACTAAACATGCACTGAATTAAGCTGCACGTTGGTGTGCAGATGTAGAGTTATTCCTCAGAACAAACAGCATCCTGTTTGCTGATGCCTCAGAAGTCAGCAGAACAACAAACTCTCTGAACCCATACTATTTAATCACAACAGAGAATGACTCCACTTTAAATCCGGTTTCTGCCTCCTGCAGAATTCTGGAATTTGTAGTTTAGTGAGGCTGTTAAAGGCTCCTCCCTAAACTACAAACTCCAGAATTCTGCAGGAGTCATTAACCAGATTTAAAGTGGATTCATTCTCTAGTGTGATGAGATATGGATTGTGAAGTGGGAGTGGGGATGTGAATTGTATGGCCCTCTGGATGTTGTTGAACTGTACCTGTCAATAACATAGGCAAGCACAGTCCTTCTGTATCTATTTCTGAGAGTGTTGCTGGGGACGTATATCCTCACACTATTTTTTTTTTCAAGTGAGTAGCAGCAGCGGGAATGCTTGAAAGTGCAACTCCATCTCTCAGCTGCAAGACTGAGGAGTTTATCACACAAGGCAGGCATATCACAATTACAACACGGCAATAATGTCTTTAGTTGAGACTTATTACATAACTTCTCTCTCCTGGGGGACAGGCTGAAAAGTGGGTTGTTGTAGATTTTTCAGGCTGTACGGCCATGTTCTTTTTTTTTTTTTTGTAATAATTTTTTTATTTATTGTAGCTTTAACATATTCGGTATTTAAACATTCTTATACTTATCACTTTCCATTAACAATTGTACAGAACATGTATGTCTTGATACCTATAATATTTCATTCTCCTGCTTCATTACATCCAATCACCCAGTGCTAACCCTTCACCCCCGACCAGCAATTACAATACTTATTCCCAAAAATCAGTTGTTTCTATTACAGGTTTGGTCCCCTTACCTTCTATATATACATATTCTATCAATTTCCCCCAAATCTTCCCAAAATCATCTTTTATTGATAATCCTCTTTTAACCTTAATGTTTCCTGTCAGTTTATCGTTTATTGCGATGTCCCAGATCTCCCTATACCACTCTTCCAATTGGCACTCCCCTCCTTCTTTCCATTTTTAGCTATTAACAATCTTGCTGCTGTTACGAGATTGGCAATTAATTCTTTTAGTTCTTTTGGTATTTTAACATTGTCAATAAATGACAGCAGTGCTATCTCCGGTGTTCCTGTTATCTCTATTTGGGTGATTCTTCTTATTTCTTGAAATACATTTTCCCAAAATTTTTGAACATATTTGCAAGACCACCACATGTGTATATATGTGCCAGTTTCTTGACAGCCCCTCCAGCACTGCTTAGAATGTTTCTTGTCAATTTGATTTAATCTGATTGGTGTGAGGTACCATCTCCACACCACTTTGTAATAGTTCTCTTTTATTCTTATTGACATATTTTTTAATATACACATATTCCACATTCCTTTCCAGTTTTGTGGGTGTATTACTTTATCACAATCCAACTCCCACATTCTTTTAAGGTGGTCCTCCTCCTGGACCCCTTCCAACAGCATTTTGTAGATATCACTTGTTATACCTTTTGTTCTTTCTTTTCCTTCCTTACTCCCCCTTTGGCTAATCATTTCTTCAAATTTGGTAAATTCTCTCTCTCCTTTATATTTCTTTCTTATTTCCCTTAACCATCTTTCAAGTTGTAGTACTTTAAACCATCCAATGTTCCCTCCTAACTGGACCTTTATCTCATCTATATTTTTCATCTTTGATTCCCAATCTTTTAATTTCGTTATTCCTTTTTCCTTGAATTCACTTTCCAACTCCTTTTTGAGATTTATGGGGAAATTATTTGTAATCAGCACCGGTGTTAATGGGGATATCGAGGGTATTAATTTTTCTTCATATTTAGACCATATTCCCAATATGTTTTTTAGAAAAGGGTTCTCTATTTTGTTATACCATTTCTTGTCTAGATTCCTAGTTTTCCCTATAAAGAAAATATATTCTAGTTTCATGTCTATGTCTTCACTCTCTTCTTCTAACCATTCTAAATCCTTTTGACCAATAATCCCTTCAACAACATATCTTAACTGGTTTGCTATATAGTATAGTTTTAAGTTTGGTATTCCCAGACCTCCCTTCTTTTGTAGTTTATACCATTTTGCTTTGTTAATTCTAACTCTTTTGTTCTCGTTGCAGAAGGTGTTTATCATATTCTGCCACTTTGTAATTTCTCCAGCTGAGATTTTAATAGGTAGCATCCTAAACAAAAAGTTTATTTTAGGTAATATTTTCATCTTTATTAAAGCTATTCTACCAAACCATGACAATTTGAGCTTGGCAAATTTAGCCAGAGTATCCTTCACATTTTTCCTTAATTTAATTAGATTCTCCCCTTCTAGTTTATCAATTTCTTTAGAAACATTAATTCCTAGATACTTTATTGAGTTCTTTATTTTTATTCTGCCCAATCTCCCTTCTCTTAATTTTTCTTCCTCTTCTTTAGTGTGGTTAAATAATAAGATTTCCGATTTGTCCCAATTAACTTTAAGGCCTGTAATTTCTCCAAACTCTGTTAAATATGCTTCTATTCTTTTTATCTGTTCTAATGGCTTTCTGAAGGTTAGTAGTGT